ACAGAACAAAACTGCCAAAACGGCTGTCTCTCCTGATGAAGACACTTCTCCTTCGTGGCTCCTGTGGAACTAATTTTCCCTTCAGTGGCTGTTGCTAGGCAACCAAACTTGGTTCTGTCAGTAAAAGGGCAAAGGAAGGAAGCCCTTCTCAGGTCTTTGTGGGGAACTCATTGGAGCCAGTCCTGATTAGGGTTGCCAGCTCCAGGTTTAGAAATTCCTGGATTTCTGTGAAGTCTAAGGAAGCCAGAGTTTAGGGAGGGGAGAGGCCTCAGATGAATAGAATGCCATAGAGCCCACCCTCCAAAACTGTTATTTTCTCCAGGCGGGGGGGAGATCTGTTGTCTGGAGTTATGATACCTGGTGATCTTCAGGCTCCACCTGGAGGTTGGCTACTCTAGGCGTAGCAGTTAGTGCTTCAGAGCAGGGTCTACCAGACCCAGGTTCTTGCTGTGGAAATTGAATGGGTGATTTCGGACCACTTACAGATTTTCAGCCTAACCTACCTCACAGGGTTGTTGTGCAGATCAAAAGTGGGAGAGGAGAATGATGTAAGCTGATTTGGTCTCCACTGTGGAGAAAGACTCTACTTTTCCTCCTGGTAGGTTGATGGTTGGCTGGGAAGTAGATAGGGTTGCCAAGTCCAGGTTGGGAAATTCCTGAAGATTTGAGGGGTGGAGCCTGAAGAGGGTGGGGTTTGAGGAGTGGGACCTCAGACAGGGACAATGCCATAGACTCCACCCTACAAACCAGCAATTTCCTCCTGGGAAACCATTGTTGCCAATCTCCAGGTGAGGGCTGGAATTACACACTCAGAATTACAACTACTCTCCAGATGGCAGAGATCAGTTCCCCTGGAGAAAATGGTGGGCTCTGTGTCATTATACCCTGGTGAGGTTGCTTCCCCTCCTACATGGGCCCCACTGAGGAGGAAGACTGTACTTTTCCTAGGTAGAGGCTCCAGGTGAGAGGGAAATGTGGGAGGGAAATGGAAAGCTGAAGTCAGAGGGGTAGATAATGGTATGTTGATGGTTGGCAGGGAAGGAGATAGGGTTGCTAAGTCCAAGACAGGTAAAATGCTGTAGACTCTACCCGCCAAACTAGCTATTTCCTCCTGCGGAATTATTGTTGTCAATCTCCAGGGGATGGCTGGAGATCACTCAGAATTAGAACTGCTCTTCAGATGGCAGAGATCAGTTCCCCTGGAGAAAGTGGTAAGCTCTGTGTCATTATACCCTGCTGAAGTCGCCACAGCAAATTGACGCTGAGTGGCAAGGCTGGGGAACCCGCTGAGAACCTCTTTCTAAAGCCCATTGTATTTATTTCCACAATAGGCCTTATTCCTAGTAAAGAAATAATTTCTTTCCATCAACTGGTTCTCTGAGGCTTTGCATTGAAAATCACCTTCTCTGTAGTATTCCCCTGAATCTCCATGTCCCTGTGCTAGTCAGGCAGCTGCCACTGTAGTGGAAGAAGAGTTATTGTGGAATATTGCTCTAAGTGCCTTTTATGTGAAAGGGTCACCTACAGCATTTTAGAAATCAACAAAAGTAAACTCTAAAAATATAATTTAAAAGCACAACTACCCCTGAAGAATCTAAAGCAATTAAAACCTCGGACAGAGTTTGGATTTTTGTATGAAAACCAGAACATGGGAGACAGGGGAGGTTACCAAGGTGAATCAGTGAAGCAGCAGCATCTTTCCAGACCTTCAGGCTAATACAGGTTATTTGAGACACAGACACTGCAATTCTGGCACACAATTAGTTGCAGTTTTCAATTAAATTCTGTTCCATTAGATAGGCTATTATTAGACCGAATAGTGCTGGAAAGGGGACTCTAGGGATGCTTCCAGGCTCCATTAAGAGCTCTTCATTATTGCTTGGCAGGCAACTGCAGGCATTTTCATCTTCATTTGCTATATGTTAACAGAGTAATGCCATCACTATCAGGCCTAGGACTTAAAACGGCTTTAACCTCTTAGGTCCTATTACTGCACTGCTTAGAGGAACTGTGCTGCTTACCCTCATTTTTGGGGGGGTGGACATGAGTTAGAAAATGCTTGCTGACAGAACAGCCTTGATCTGAAAAGCTCCCTTGTGTGAGCAGCAGGTACTTCCCTTTGCACAACATTTCCCCCCTCACTAACCAAAGCCTACTGTACTGCACTACATAACACTTGGTAAAGTTCCCCCACCCCTCCACTTTATAGTAGTCACAAGGGGATACAGCAGGAAGGGAGGTAGCTTGTGTCAGTAGAATCCCACCTATGGTTCTTTAGATGTAAACCTCTGTCAATGTTTCAGTAAGATAAGTGAAAGTCAGCTGTGATGGGAATAAAGATGGAATTGAGTAGATAAGTGTTAACTTGGACAAAAGGCAAAGGGATACTGGGCTTTAAAAGTCTGCAGTGTTGAGAAAGAGACTGATATTTGCTGTTTATGGATTTATATCTGCTGACACACACAAACTTTACATGGACTGTGCATACACATACACCCTAGGCTTAGGGAACGCTATTTGAAGCACCAGTTTGTGAGAGGTTACACAGAGAAAGTGCTACCTGCATTTCATGTTAATGAAGCTTGTAGATATACAAGATCCTGGCCTGAGGGGAAGAAGCACATTTCGCCATTGTTAGCAGAAACCACAGCTTAAAGACAAGTAATCCCCCATTACCAGAGGACTGGATGTCACGCAATACATGGATCTGATCTACATCTGAATTGCCATTTCCTGGCAGATGTTGCTTTGATGGCCTGGGAAAGCCGGTATCTATCTGCACTTCAAAGAGATGTATTGACACTGAGGCTTCACACCTGACCAGATGGCTTGTCCTGAGTTAGATCTAGTATTTCAATATTGACCCAACCCCTTAAAGGTTCTGCCCCTTACTACACGCACCAATAAGATGTAGGGATGGGACGGACTTACAGGTAGGTGGATCCCAGGATGGCAAGGTTGCCAACCACCCCAAAGATTCACCTATAAAAGCTAGGGACCATGTGCAGGGTCCTTGGCTAGTCGCATTCCCCTTCATCATCCTCTGTCTACTTTTGTCCCCTAAAGTCCAGCTTACTATCAAACAACCCCATTGTCTATTCTTGATCTCTTGGACTGCAGCCAAAAAGGTTCACACTTTGCTGGCTGGTTCTAGCAGTGTGAATTAGAAATATCCCTAGGTACTATTTTCTTCCCCTGTTCTTTATTGCATCAGACAAGGCTTCAGGAAAGATAAGTATAAACCGATACCTACCTACCTCCTAAGTAAAAGGGAACTTTCTATTGCTGTAATCCTAAAGGAACTTGATTGTATGTGTGTGAGATTCTGTTTTGTGTGTATGTGATTTTGATATTCTTTAGTAAAAAGACAAATTGCTTGAAATCCACCAGTCTCTCTCACTGGGACATTCTTGGGGTGGACAGAACCTCCGTAAACTTTGGCGGGAACCCTTATTAAATTTAGTTTGCCATCTGTTGTAGATAAAGCAGATTGGCTAACAGCAGTATGGTTTCTCTACAAAGTTTTAAAAGATCCAATTTATGAAGGCACTTGTATACTTACTTTTTATGTTGGAACCTGCTCTGAGTCCTTAGGATAGGGTGGGGCAAAATTTCATCAACTATGAATTATTTTTCATTGGCGCAACAGTAACTTTTCATGAACATTTTTTCCCCTTTATCAGGTTCAGTTGGCACACCCAGTTCTCATGATACAACCTGTACCTCTGCCACTGTGGAATATCCTAGGCAGTGAGTGGATGGTATATGTCACATACAGAAATAACATTTTTTGTACTTCTGTGCCCTAATATGGTTTACCATACTTCTTGCTTATTGTGAAAAGCCTCAAGCCAAGACAATGGGAAGCTTCTTGGTAGATCAACCTTTATATACCATGGTTTTCTGTTGGTTCTAAGTAGAGTGATATGAGTTATTCCACAAGCAGTATTGACTTTTATAGTATAGCGATCTTCACTTTTTGTAGGTGCCAATTACTGTGGACCTGCACAACCCTTACAAAGCTTCAACTAGTAACAATTGTGTTACTAGTGCAATTATTTTGCTGGATTTGTTGGCTTTTATCACACTGAATCCTAGTAACTCTTCTGAAAGTATTGTTCTCTTACTTTGTAAAGGTCTACATGCTATAGTTCAGTAGTAAATGTGTATTTTATTTTTCCTGTATTATTTTTCCAGGTATCTATACTATCCCTATTAAATAAATGCCAATTTTTCTCTTCTATATTCCTGGTTAAATAATTGCTAATTTAATAAAAGAAAACTAGATCATGGTGGAAAAAGAAACTGAAGTGCTTTGTGTTCTAGTGGCACTGGATACACGCTGAATACAAAGGAGTGACCTCATTAATAGTCACACAGCAAAAGCAGTGACAGTCTCACCTACAGGTTAAAACTTTTCCATTTAGGCCAGTTGTGGTGGGGATTTCAAAGGTGGTAAACTGAGCTTCTTACAACTAGCACGGCTCAACAAGCATGCAGTTTCTACTTGGATAGGGATATTTCCTTCCACGATCCTGCATTATTTAAGAACAGAATCCCCAAACAAGCCCCTAATTAAATATTACACTTTAACCAAGGTTTACTAGCCTAGGTTGTGGGGAGTAAAGTAGTTTTGACAGGGGTCCCCTGCAATTGGACTCAGTGTAAATTGGCACATGATGATGAAAGCTCACACCTTGAGTAAAACTTGGCTGGTCTTAAAGGTGCCACCTAGACTCTACATTTGTTCTACAGAATGCAGAAAAGTTGTCATAAACTAACAAGAAAGTAATTGGTTGCTGTTCTTTGCCTCCGCAAAAGCTGAATAATGGTCCTACGAAAGGAAAAAAATGTACCTTAGATGAAAGAATTTATACCCACAGCTTTGCTTAGATTTTTAAAACACAGGCGTAGAACAGCACAGAACGATCTGCTTTTCTAGGTTTGTGATCCAGGCTCAATGGAAAAGATTGCTCAGAACTAACATTGATTTAATTTAATTCTTCCATTGCCAAAAGAAGAGTACAAGTACATAGACTAAAAGAGACAAGAGCAAGTACAAAGGGTGTCGGGAGCAAAGTGACTGAGCTATGCAATATCAGCGAAATATGGCATGGGCCAGGAGAATGGTTCTTCCAAGCACAACCGGATCGAAGCTGGATAAAGGTAGCTCCCCTGAAATGTGCTCAAGAGCACACGACCATCATTTCCGAAAGGAGATCCGCAGATAAAACCAAGTCCTGCTTCTGCTACTTTGTCCCTTTTCCCTGGTAACAGCAGCAGAACGTATAACCTATGCAGAGGCAGGGAGAATAGGCCAGAGTCTGTAAGGCTACAAGGCCAGTGCAGCTGTTTTGGCTGTTGTGTTCAGTACAGCAGAGGAAATAGCAGGAATGTCTCTGGCAACTCTCTGAAAGGGAGGGATGTTGGGTCCTTCCAATGTATCCAGGATGCCTGCCAGTGAGAAGAGCAACATGACAAGTTAACCCCAAGCCTGCAGTATACCCACATCAATGTATGTCGTATTCCAACTAGCTGCTTTGATCCATTGCCATCCCAGGACTGATATGTGCTTGTTTTTTATACACATGCATTTTACCCTCTAGGAACAGCAGGTCTGTGTGGGGTAGAAAATTATTTTCCTTAATACTGAACTTGCAGTCTGTTAAAGGAGAGGTGGGCCTCTAGATACAATCGTGAAGATGTCTGGAACTACAGCATGGCTAGGCTGCGAGCCTTGGTTAGCAGATTAAATTAGAACAGTGCTTAAATGAATGGCTATAATGATACAAATCAGTCTTACCCTGTAAAGGATAATGTCCAAGACAAGGGACAGTGCAAGACTTCAGCTGATTCAGACTAAGAATACAAATGTTTGTATCTTTTTTAAGGAGATACAAGACTGTGGGCGAGGACAAAGCGCCAACAGTGACAGATCAAAATATATGAAAGCTGTATTATCCCCTTCCTCTGTATGTGTCAGCAGAATACACAAAAAAGACCAATCTAGGCACATTTCAAATCTTCCCTGAGTGAGGCACCCTCCGGTCCACCCAACATCGACAATGTGACAGCAAGCAAATCATTTCAGACTTCCAACATGCTTGTTATTGTACATTCGTATGAGAAGAGTTAACAATGGGAAAACAGGACTGTTTCCACACATGATGAGCTTCCTATAAGGATATCACTACAATGTGCATGTGAAGAAAGACGAGCCTGTTCATCACGTGATGACATAACACACTTTTTCCTTATAGAGAAGTTAAGCATAAAGGAAAGTCATTATGTTTGAAACTGCTCTAAGATGGGTGGAAGGAATTAGTGTTTAGAACATACTATGAAGCCGGAATAGCGATTTGCTTACAGGAAACAGAACTTGTGGTTTAGAACTCCTGGAAGTGTTCAGAAACCCTTTAGGTAACATTTTCACACCCAGGGGTTTGAAACCACAGCTCCAGCAAGGCAAAACATGGGACAACTTGTATTTCATTGGCAAAGACTCTGGAGACACCTAGTGAAAGAGTTCAGGGGAAGAGATGAACTTCAGCTTTCTAAAATAGCCTGCAGTTTGTCCCAAAACTCCTCTTTGAGGAATGGGAGAGCCTCACAAGCAAATGCACCCACAGGATGGGGGAGGGGGCTGCAGGAACAAGGGGGACATCAAATGAAACAAATAAATAAGACTTTTCCCTCTGCTGGATCCAGCCCATATTTTTCTAGCACCAAAACACATTATTGTCTCTTACCTTCTACAACCTTATGATAAGCAAAGTGCAGATAAAGGAGGAACAGCATGTGCAGGGCAGCAAGAGCTCCACACAGGATAAGTCGTTGAGTGTATCCCACTGTGCGCGATACAAGCACAGCAACCTAGGAAAGACAGTAACTGAGGTCTCTCAAATTCTGGCAACCCCCCCCCCCCCCCGATACAAATGCAGGAGGGTAAGAGAGTTATAGCCGTTCCCATGGCTTGACCTTTTGTTAGAGTATTCCGTGGATGGAAAGGTATACAAATTAAAAAGTTTTTTCATCTTTCACTCCTTCCTTTCAATAACAGGTTTTCACCTGCACCAGGGGATGCAGCCATGAATTTGAGTGTCATTAGAGCATGTTTGGGCATTTAAGTCAGATTTTATGGGTAAAGAACCATGGTGAGGAAGCAGTTATTGCCCACTAGTGACAATGAGGAAATGATGCATGAAATTAGCAGAGGCCTTGCAGAATTTAACACCTGGCACAAAACAAGAGAGTCAGGCGGTTTCATGTCATGTTATTTGGGATGGACACTGAAGACTCTGTTTCAAAAAAGAACATATTTCAGACCCCTGGTTACCCTTGGTCTAAGCAGATCCAGTCGTTAGCTTTAATCACTGGAACATTTTCTCCACCACAACCAGAGGCAACAATTTTTAAAATCAGTGTTCTTTCTATTGATAGTTAAAATAACCACAAAATACATTTTAGTGCTACGTAATCAACACTAATGAACTCTGAATGACAGATGATGTGTGACCCTGAACGAGGTATAAAGGGCCTTCAACAGACTTTTGCATTAGGCTATAATTCTGAAGCAGTCCTGGAAAAAGCTGACGTCATCAAGCCAAGCCGAGTGAATGCCGTCTGGAACACGTCTAAGCCTACAGCTGAACAAAATCCCCGTCGGCTGCAAACGTGTGCGACTTAAAAGATTTATATGTTGTCCTCCTTTACCCCTATGAATCATTGTTAGTCCCGTGTGAATATGTGTAACTGTAAATCGCTCAGAGCCAGCAGCTCTGCAGGATCGAGCGATTAATAAATCAAAAGATATTATTATTATTTTTTTCCTGGTCTGTTCTGTGACTGTGACCATCATTTTTGAGCCACGATGCAACATATTATGCAGATGAGAAGACCTTTAGCTGGAGGGGACGTTCCACTATGCAACCATTTACTGCAAAGTGGAATGGAGATCATCTCACACACACATAAACAACTGGCCATTACACACACCTCTCTGCAATGTCTAAAACAACTTACCATTCGTAGTGTGGAGAGCCCTCCAATGCCCAGCCAGAAGATATAAAAAAGGGAGTGAAAATGGATATTGTAGGTGACAAAGAGGGTGACGCAGTGCCCAAAAAGGCCATAGCCCTGTAAGGGAAGAGACACACAAGGAGAACAGTACAAGAGGTGAGAGAATTCCCAGGCAGAAGTAAATCAGTAAATTCTTCCTGCATATTCTCCCTTAGACAGCACTGGCTTCAGCAGCAGCACAGGCCAATGAGCTAAAGCCGAATGGCAGAACTATGCTTCACTGATGCAACCATTAGAAAACCTTAAGTTACGCGCCAAGCAGCCTTGGCTAACTTATGAACTGAACTACCACATACACTTGTAAAGGTTAATTAATTTCTGCCTGAAAGCTAACTAGTACTGCCTTGTTTCACTGCCAGTATCCAGCGTGAGATAAGAATAAAAGGCCATCAGAGAAAACTCAAGAGAGAGAGAGCGTGAGCAAATATAAACACATGAAGCTGCTATATACTGACTCAGACCACTGATTAATCAAGGCTAGTAGTGTCTATGTTGACTGGAAGTGGCTCTCTGGGGCCTCAGGCAGAGGTCTTTCACATCCTGGTCCTTTGAACTGGAGATACCAGAGACTGAACCTGTATGCAAGGCAGATATCCTACCGTCAAGCCATGACCCCTCCCCTAAGAGAGAGACAATCCTATTCCTACTTTTCAGTCCCTGCCAAAGACTCCCAGTGGGAGAAGAAGCATATTCTTACCAAGAGTGACAACATTTGAACCATGGTGATCTGGGCATTGCATAGGTACGCCAGGAAGTAAATAAAGGAGGAAACTCCTAGCCAGTAACCAAAGCAGGTACCAATTGCTGTACCCATCAGAGTGCCTTCTCTCTGTGGAAGAGCAATAAGAGTGTTAGCCAAGCCCTTTAATAGGACTCCCAAGCAGCACAGACTACCCATGCTCCCACCAAAGGCATTAGCTGCACCTTCAAGACAGAGCTTGTCCTCATCAGCATATGCCCAAGTAAGCTCAGAGCTAAATAAAATCCTGCTTAAGAAAATAGGCCCTGCATATTTATAGCATATATTTATAAGCCTAGATAATAGCTCCTTAAGTTACACTTAAATAATGGGAGGATGTAAAGATTACTATTAGTATGGAAGAATAGGATTGGATCTGGGAAACTGTTAGCTCTAGATTGATTTTGACTGGAAGAAACATTTTTTAAAATACATTTTCATTGGTATCTGACTCTCCACAGATTAGCACTCATCTTTAATTTATTGCAACATAAACAATGGAAGTGTGGTTCATCATTTGCTGATATATTCAGGGGTCTTTTCATAGAAAAAGAGCTGCAGGAGCTCATTAGCATATGGTGTGCTAATGAGCTACTAGGCTATTAGCATATGCCACGCCCCCTGACATCACCGGAAGTGATGTCAGAAGGGGAAGCAAAAGGGGGGGAGGCATCTTCAAAGGCTTCCCCTTCCCTTCCCCAGCTGGCCTGGGGAGGGGGGGAGCGAAGAGAAAAGGGGTTTAAAGTTTAAACCCTTTCTCACTAGAGTTGGGCCACAGAAGGAGGAAAGAGGGAAGGAAAGAGAGAGAGTAGAGAGAAGGAAAGAAGGAAGGAAAGAGGGAAAGAAAGAGAAGGAAAGAAGGAGGGAAACGGGGAAAGGAGGAAAAAGAGAAGAGAAGAAGGTGGTAAAGAAAGAAAGAGAGAAGGGAAGAAGGGGGAAAGAGGAAAAGGAGAGAAAGAAAGGAGGGAATGAAAGAGAGAAGGAAAGGAGAAAAAGAGAGGAAGGAAGGTAGAGAAGGGTTTCCTACCACCCCCCCATCAAGCCCCCGCCACCCCCACCCCCGCTGATCCCTTACTTAATGCTTCAGCAGGGGCCGGGGAAGCCGGCGGCGGGGCTCTCCGGGCCTTCCCCAAGCTGCAGCGCTTCTGCACGGGCCCAGGGGACCCGGCGGTGGGGCTCTCCGGGCCTCCCCCGAGGAGCCACAGCGCTTTCGGCGCGGGGAGCTAGGGGTGGGGCTTGCTGCCGCCACCACTAGCACGGGCTCCTGGGCTGCCGGAGCGGTGCTCTGGCCCCAAAAGACCCCTGGATATATTTCATATCTTTTGCAAGTGTTCTGAAGTATAAATGCTTTGGAGAACTATGGTCCAGTTTGTTAGTGAAATGTGATGTATCAACAAATCTCTTGAACCAAAGACAATACCGCTAGTGTACTTGAAAGACAATGCGGATCCCTCAGATAGGAGCTAGTTTTTAAGTTTGTTCACTACTACCAAGACGGTTATAGCAGCAAAGTGGAGAAAGGCAGAGTCCCTGTCATGATCTGGGCTGTGCCAGCACGGCCTAGCCAGCCCAGGAAGCCTGTGTAGCAGTGGGAGGAGGCTAAGCCTACAAATCCCAGAAGGCCTTGGGGGGGGGGGTTGGAGCCAATCAGAGAGGGAGATTCGGAATGGGACTGTTAGATTCTGTGTGAGGAGACTGTGATCGTCTGATGAGAGAAGGAATCTGAGCTGTTCACTGAGGGGAAAGGGTGTCTTTCGTCTCTCTCTGCGGCCTGATCTCAGTGAGAAGACAGGTTGGTCTGCAAGGAAAGGATCCCTCAGCGTGAGTGTTAGGCAGGCTGTGGGCCTGGAAGTAAAACAGTTAGGAGTAATAGAGAGCTGCGTTAGGTTATGTTTTTTTGTCTTTTCCTCACTGTTACACCTTTTCCAAAGCATCTTTTCTTGTCTTGTTTCTCCCCTGCCCAGTTCTGTAGCAATAAACGTTTTTTTGTGGTTCCAACCATTCTCTGCCTGGGTCAATCACGCCTGTGTATCTTGGCTGTAAAAGGGGCTTGGGAAGGTACCCTGGGCCTACCCAAGAGACCATAAGTCCAGGTGGGTGGCGGTGGAAGGTGGAGACCCCCTGGGGTCATGACAGTCCCCTTTTATAAATGAATGGTTTAATAAAATCTGCTGTACTGCTGTATTGATGGAGCAATTTTCAAAAAAGCTGATAAATTTAATAAACACTGGATTCTATTTATTATGTTCTGGACCGAGAAAAGAAGTAACAGGATTTACCCATTTGCACCCTGACCTGGATAGCCCAGACAAGCCTGATCTTGTCAGATCTCGAAAGTTAAGCAGGGTCAACTCTGGCAAGTACTTGGATGGGAGACCTCCTTGGAATACCAGCAGTCGGGAGGCAGGGGCAGGCTTTACTCAGCCACCTCTCTGAATATCCTCCAAGCCGCCAGTAGGGGATCAGTTATCAGGGGTTGTCATGACTTCCAGGTGCATACATACTCACACGCTCACACACACACACACACATGAAAAATACAAAAAACAAAACAAAACACCACCACCACCCCAACAAAAAACCAAAAAGGATTTACTCATTGACTTTTTATGGTTCACTGTAGATTATTGTGCTTGAGTATGGATTTTTCTTTTGTTTGGATAGTTTTTCTTTGTGCATATGTAATTACAAGCAATAATAAATTGATTTTAAAAAGAAATCAGGTGCCCATACTCACAATGATGGTATCAGATGTCTTCATTCCATGCAGCAAGATAGCCACCAGTGTGAAGACCAGCATGAGGGGACCATAAAGCTCACCAGCTATCTTCTATAAAAGAAGGACGAAACGGCAGTGACTGATCAGTGTTGCAGAAACCAGCTGCACCACACTAATTACAGAGCGTCCAAGCCTTCACTCAAACTCCAGGTCATGTATTTCAAAAGACCTAGCAAAAGAACCTATTATACTACTTTGTAAGAAGCAAGAATTGTCTGTCTCTTTCCAGCAAATGGCTTTGAGGCTCCTCAATGGATGAGAAATGATATATAAAAAGCTGACTGTACACAGTAGATGAGAGGGCTTCATTTCACAAATGTTCATAGAGCTGGAATTTCTTCTTTTTTTTAAATGTAGACCTGGAATTTCTGATTCCCCCGGTCCTCACCTGCCATGCCCAGCACAAGTCAGCAACACTAGCAGTTACATTGACTTTTCTACTAGCACAAACCCATTATGAAATCACTGCAGATCCGCTAGTGGTGCCAAAATGGGCAATCAGGGAAGAGCAAAAGGAAGTGGGGAGGGGAGTGCAGGGCTGTCAAGAGGGAGGCTGCCAACAGTTACAGCCCACTGTACTGATGGACTTTTCTGCAAAGTATGAATGGAGGAAGAGGAGGGAACACTCGTGGCAGGGAGGCTGCTACACACCTTCAGTTTGGTGTAGTGGTTAAGTGGTTAAGTGTGCGGACTCTAATCTGGGAGAACCGGGTTTGATTCCCCACTCCTCCACTTGCACCTGCTGGATGACCTTGGGCAAGCCGTAGCTCTGATAAGAGCTGTTCTTGAAAAAGAGCAGTTCTGTCAAGAGCTCTCTCAGCCCCGCCTACCTCACAGGGTATCTGTTGTGGGGAGGGGAAGGGAAAGGAGTTTGTAAGCCGCTCTGAGACACCTTTGGGTAGTGAAGGGCGGGGTATAAACAACAACAACAACAACAACTCCTCCTCCTCAGTGGAAGCAGCTTTCTGCCCAAGTGATTCACCATCAGGAAAGCATCAGTGTGCACCCATGATGAGATGTAGACAGGACATCACCTCTGTATTATAGTTTTATATACAAATGAAAATGATGCAGAGCATAAGCCTGCAAGCCAGCCTATTTGGGGTTTAGACTTTTCCTATTCTTAGGATATGTGACAGAAACCCTAAAACTTTCCTAAGGTTCAAGAGTGCCACCTAGAGCATCTGGGATCTTGGACACCTGGGGTTACATTACAACAGGGGTTCCTAACCTTTCTGAACCCATGGGCACCTTTGGAATTCTGACACAGAATGGTGGCCCAACCACAACATGGCTACTGCAGGAGACGGAGACACAAAAACAGGAATCTGACGCACCATGGGAAAAGAGAGTAATTTTAAAAATACACTGGGAAAGAGGAGTAAGAGAGAATAAAACCAACACTGTAGTGGCAGCTGCCACTGAAACAATGTTATTTTAATTTGCCCAGCCAATGGGCTCTCCAGTGGCCAATCAGAAGCCCTGCTGGCCAAATGTTCAACCTGGCTTCACCAACTTTCTAAAAACACTTGGTGGGCAACAGGAAAGGTGTTGGTGGATACCATGGCACCCACAAGCACTATGTTGGAAACCCCGGGAATAGAATTACTCACTGATTTCCATTCCATATTGGACAATCCTGCCAGACTTAATCCTTTTTGGATGAAGGACAATCCAGTCTGGGCCAGACCACCTATTTGTCATGGAAATTCAGAGCAATTACCAGATGTTTGATGAAGGTGGAACTGTATTTTACACGGCTCTGACATCAGGGATGGGGTATTGCATGCTATTTACAGCATCAGCTTGTCACTCTTAGAAAGGAGAATGGTTTAGGTCCACTTCCACTGACCATAAATATCTGGACATCTGTGGGATTTTCTCTTGTTTTCAGTTTTCAGGGGAAACAACAGTCCCCAGGAAGTTGGGAAGAGCTTAAGGACTTCTCTGACTTCTTGCTGGTGTTAGGAACACTGCACACACTCTGAGAAACCTGCTACAGCTTAGGTAATGTTTAGCTTAGTTCAAGTGCACTGCTTTTTTATTTGGCCACCTCTGTACTGTGTTCTCGGTGCCTTTCCCCTGTATTTCATTCTTGCCTTTTGTCCACCACCTTTTGAATCCACCCAACCCTTTCCTTTTCCCTTTTTACTTCACTTGGTACAATTTACTTATCTGGGATATTCCTCTGAATCTCTTCCCCATGTGCTAGACTGCAAAGGTGCTACATAGTTGGTTGTAAGGTATTTTCTAGGGGTTCTATCCTGTCTCTTCGTTAATTACTCCAGTACTCTGCTAGAACAATACCTGCTCAGTGGGTCAGTCTAGATGTTCTCAGGAGGTCCTGAGTGGTGGCAGTCACTTTCCAGGGAATCCTTGGTCTAAGGGAGATTCCTAGCAAAGAAGACACCATTCCCCCTTCCTTCCTACCATAACAGGATACACCAACTCTGACATAATATTAAACCCAAGATTCAGCAGCTTACCTGGGGAAAATTAATCATCTTCATAGGAATCATGGACTCCAGCAACCTGAATAAGAACAAGGCATACAGGTGAGTGTTAATGGCTCCAAGTAAAGAAGTCAGACTTCAGAGATACTCATTCATTTTGAAATAGTCTGCAGATCCGCCAGGCTAAGAGACAGACAGGATTTGAGGTAAGAAAGTACATAAGTAAACAAAACTTACCTTCTGCCAGACCTGATGCTACAAGGATCTTAGCACCACATTTCTATTCTGTAACTAATCCACAGCCACACTAAGCTGGAAATAATGCCTTGAAGGGAAGAAGGGCACATGCCCTGATCCTTATCTTGTTTACTCCATGGGGGTAAAGGCTCAAGTGAAGTAAAATTCCTTGTTTGTTTGCTGTTCATGCAGTTGTCATACAGGGGTCAGAAAGGGCCTAACAGCAATGACCAGCAATTTGTGTCTTGGGATCATCAGTACTGGGTATGATAGATTTGATTTGTAGTTGTCAGACAGGACAGACAATGCTAAGGAATCTGCTCAACCAATAGCAGCACCCGGAGTTCCACTTGCAACAGCATCAAAAGAATTAAAATCAAATGACACCATCAGCTTGAGCACTGAAAGCACAGCTAAAATCCTTTTTCGCTTCCCCAAAACTACCTCCCAAAAGGCCAGCAAACAGCCAGAAGAGTCGTGTGGTATTTTTCTCACAAAGACTACTTAAAGGCAGCTTATTATTTTTAGTAACAGAAAAATGCCTGATGGCAGGTGATGGCATTCTGGAGTGGGCTGCACCTCTGCTATTAAGAGAGCTTCACTTATAAAGGGCAATCTTATGTAATCCTCTGGTAGATCAGTTGCAAATGAGGTGGGAGGAGCAACTGTTTGCATCTGCTAGCACCCGCCAAGTTTCTTTACCTGTTCCGAACTTGCATCGGCTCAACATCAAAGTAGGGCCTGAGAATATCAATGTTAGCATACAGATTGAAGGCCTTCGAGGCTTGTCTCTTTCCAGCCTGCCACATCTAGGAGAGAGAAAAACAGAAACACATCCAATGGAAAGCTTCTTTCTTAATTCTACAGAGTGCTGAATAACTGAATTGCCGTAAAGGGCTGATTACTGGATCCACAAAGATCAACAAAGCAGGGTAGACCATGTCCCTTCCCCCAGCCCACCCATCACTGATATTTGCAGTCATAGGCAGGAAAGTTATGTTGTTACAAAAATCCAGACACAGCCAGGAATTGGCAACAGACTTCACTATCTCTGCAAGTACACTGCTCCTGGCAGTGCGAAGGGCAGTGTCCGATTGCTAATCTCTTGAGGCAGAAATGCTGAAGGGGCCTATTTGCAGAACATGCACCCAGAGGAGGATGCTCCAGCTCATGACTCTCTGATTCAAAAGAGACTAATTTTGATAGCAGGGACTAATTTTACTTCTGGTGACCCCCAACCATAAAATTATTTTCATTGCTATCATAAGACCATTGAAAATTTGTATTTTCTGATGGTCTTAGGCAACTCCTGTAAAAGGGTCGTTCAACCCCCAGGTTGAGAACCGCTGGACTAGATGATCCTGGAGGTCCCTTCCAACTCTATGATTCTATGAAGGCCAACAGGTAGGATACTAAGAATCAAGAAGCACTAGGATATAATCCTCAAAGCATTATACTTAGACTGAAGACACAGAAACCAGCTCTCTGCTGGTTAGAATTCGAACAGTCATATCGGAAGAACTAAAAGAAGCCAAGCAGAGCTCCAATTACCTGATCTGCAACTTGCCGACCCAACTGTCCCTTAAAACCCTTCATCCCCAAGAATTCTCCATCTTCCTCATCTGCAGCAGCTGCCTCTGCATCCACCTCTTCCTCTTCCTTCATGCGTTGATGCATTTCACCCATGTCTTCAAAACTGGAACCAGATGTGTCATCCATGTTTTCCATATCAATCACAGCAGAGCCCCCACCCTGAACAACAGAAAAAACCCAGACAGTTCAAGACGGATTGCATCTCTAGCTAAGGTGCAGTGAGGGCATTCATAACAGCAAGAGCAGAGGTGTCGAATTCATTTGTTATGACGGCAAAGATCTGACATAAATATCACTTTGTTGGGCCAGTCTATGTGTGCTATAAAATGTAATGCCAGGTACTGGCGGTATAACCTTTATAAAGGACACAGGCATACCCAATTATTTTTTACTCAGAAACAAACATGCTCAAAACATTAACACTCTTACAGTATTTCCTTACAGATCTCCCTGATGCCCACCCTCCCACTTCCACCACCCATTACTCATTAGCCCTGGGACAGTATATAGGGACTTAATGCACAGACTCTGTCATCTGGCAATAAAGGTAATGACCAGTTGCTTGCAGGCCAGATAAGAGCCCTCGGTGGGCCAGTTCCACCCCATGGGCCATATGTTTGACGTCCCTGAGCTGGAGGGAAAACAGAAATGAGCTCCTCTTACCAGATCCCGCCAAATGGAAACAGACACAAAAGGTAATTGGCACAAGCTAAACTAAGTACCATTTCTAAATTTCATCCTCAATTATTTATGCAGGTGAGATTCACTACTCTGCATATCAATAGGCTTTGATGTGAAACAGTAAGAGGAAACCATATCTGTTCCCATTCATTTTCCCAGGTGTTCCCATTTCTTCAAAACTTATTAAATGGCCCAAGAGAAAGCTGGCACTGAATTTTGCTCTCTTTGTAACCCACAGATGTAATAATTAAGCATAGAATGACCAGGAGCTCCAGACTAAGACTTCAAGCAGCTCTGACAAAATATACCGGTCATAACATAAAATAAAACTCAGGAGACTCTGTTAGAAGTCACCAAAACAGATCTGTGTTTCTGGGAAAACAGCACAATAGATCACACCAGGGCTGGAGATATTAAGGCATTCACCCTAAAGAAGTAGAACAAACAGGAACTGTGCTCCCATTTGCCACTGTTCTGCGGCATATTGACTGCCCTTTGTAGAACCGCTCCACTACTCTTAATGTAACAATGACAGACAATGTGGTAGGGAAGTTCTCAAAAGTTGAACAGCAGCAGCTTGTTATACTGTGAAAGATAATCATCACTAGCATACTCACACAAGTCACTATGCCTTTTGAACTCATTAACTTGTCAAACCAGTCACTTCTCAGCTGTCCTCAAATAGGAAGATATATTGGAAAGAGTACATCTCATGAAGTGTATTCTCAACAGACAGGAAATTCATTTACTTTTTCAGTTCCCTTGGGTTTAAAGGGGGGCACTAACAAGGCTATACTCCTATTTTTACAGCAATTGCTGCCGCCTATTCATTTTAGGAGCTCACAGAAGCATACACAGAGATTACCTTATTTTCTTCTCACAGTTACCCTACAAGGGAAGTGATGTTGAGAGACAGCAACTGACCAACAAGGTCATTTGCATGGCTAAGTGGGCTTCAGAGCCAAGCCTCCTCAGCTGCAGTCTGACACTCTGTGTGAGAGTGTGCATGGCAGAACTAGATTAAGGAGAGAACCCAGTTCAAGTACCCATTCTGTCATGAAGCTCACTGGTGATCATGGGCCAATAATGATCTCTCAACAACATACACCCGGCAGCATTGTTAAGATCAAATGGGAAGATGAAACCTGAGATTTTTAGAGGAAGAATGAGGTATGAAAAGTCTAACAAATAATATTAAGCATCTGAAGTATTTTATTGATTAAAAGAATGATTAGACTGAGGTAGTGTACACAAAACAAACACAAAGCTGTTAATCATCATCAACAACACAAAGTCAAAGATCCAGTTTTTAAATTATCTCAATGGCTATTTGGTTGAGGCAGCACTTTAAAAGGGGGGGGGAGGTATCAGTTCCCAGATTTTCAAAGGCTGTTAGTCAAATGCTGCTCTATACAGAACCTCCCCGTTGGTTTGCTTTCACCCATTTGTATTCATATTTCTTTTAAGAACATAAGAGCAGCACCGCTGGAACAGAGCAGTGGTCCATCTAGTCCAGCATCCTGTCTCACACAGGGGCCAAGTAGTTTTCCTGGAGGTCCAACAACACGCCATAGGGCTGAGGTCTTGCCTTGGTGTTGCCTTCTGGTACTGGGATTCCTAACCCTAACCCTTTTAGTCACCATGGCTAGTACACTGGTAGACCTATCCTCCATTAATCTAACACTCTTTTAAAGACTTTGATGCCTGCGGCTATCACCACATACTCTGGCAGCAAATTCCGCATTTTAATCTCTCACTGTTTAAAGAAGTATTTCCTGAATCTATTGTCCATCAACTTAATAGGATATCCTAGTATTTTGAGAGGAGAAAAAGTTCTCTCTGTTCACTCTCTATATCCTGTGCATAATTTTATAAAACTCCATCATCCCCCCCCCCGGTGTATGAAGTGCCATCAAGTTGCTTCTGAATTATGGTGACCCTATGAATTAATGCCCTCCAAAATGTCCTATCATAAACAGCCTTGCTCAGGTCTTGCAAACTGAGGGCTGTAGCTGCCTTGACTCAGTCAATCCATCTAATCCTGGCTCTTCCACTTTTCCTGCTGCCTTCAACTTTTTCTAACATTGGCTGTGGTCACACGGAGCATTAGCTACGCTACAGAGACAGAAGATAGGCGGATTTTCCGGGCGCGATCAAACCACAACATCTGGGAAGCGTAGAGCTCCCGAGGCTAACCCGAGGCTTCCCGCCAAAGATGCGCCGTAAAAAACTAGTACTTCCAAGGTACTAGTTTCCGGAAACCACGGGGCAAGGGCGGGCGTCTGATCACATTTCCGGTGGTAGCTCGTGGCATCCAGCGCCTGCCCATGTCTCATTGCGAAAAGGTTTATCATAAACAGCCTTGCCGGGATGCGAACAAGCACCCAACGGCGCATGCGCACACTTCGGTTAAAAAAAACAACACAACCCCCGCTGCGCCGCTTCTTTGCCGCGCTGCAGGATTGACGTATGATCAACCCCTCCCCCCGAACCACGAGATGTCGGCGGGACGTTTGATCCGGCAGCCGCGCAGTAGTTCGCTCCGGGGCAAATAGCCACGCTCCCCCCCCCGCGATATCCGGCCCATGTGACCGGGGTCCCTATTGACTTTTCCAGTTAGTCTTGTCTTCTATTTATGTGACCAAAGTATGATAACCTAACTTAGTCATTTTAGTTTCTTTGGAGAGTTTAGGCTTGCTAGAACCCATTAATTTATCTTGTTTGGTGGTCCACAATATCTGCAAAACTCTCCTCCAACATCACATTTCAAATGAATCAACTTTCTTCCTGTCAGCTTCGTTTATTGTCCAGCTTTCAACTCATATGTAGTAACAGGGAATTGTCTTGATCTTGGTCACCAGTGACACATCTTTACACGTAAGGATATTTTAGCTCCTTCATGGCTGCCCTCTCCAATCTCAGGCTCCTTCTGATTTTTTGGTTGAAGTCCCCCCTTTTAGTTGATGATGTATAATTCCTCAGTAAGTCGTTACTTTTGTCTTCTTGATGTTCAGCTGTAATTTGCTTTGGCACTCTCCCAATTAGCTCCTCCCAGGTTTTCAGTCCTTCACCATCATGGACTAGGAGGCAGGGGGGAGGAGAGGCTCTATTGATTTGGGAGACTTACTCCTTCAGGGCACTCCCGCCACCAAGGATCACCAGCATACAGTGCACTGGCCTGGTGTGGGAGGCCAGGGAGAGTTTGGCTATTTGGAGAGTTTGGAGAGTGGGAGGCCAGGGAGAGTTTGGCTATGCACCGGCCAATACCCTACGGTCTCTGGTGGAGGCCATGTCTAGCTGGGCATTGGAGCACCCTAGGCTGATGGTCTTGGGTTGTCCATGCTGATGATGTGGCCTCCACGCAGGTGGCGGACCTAGTGCCGTCCACGGTGACACTGGGACTCTCCCAATATGTAATTCCCACTCACTGGGCGAGGCACAGATTGGATTTAATCTTTGTGGATGGAGTTACGGTGGACAGGATCACTGCCACAGGGGTGCCATGGTTGGACCACTATGCCTTGAAGGCCTGTGTGAATGTTCCACCCCAACCTGGTTTGGGTGGCAAGCATATTTTAGCTCACCTGCTGAGCCAAATGGAGCCTATGAGGCTGCAGGTAGCCCTGCGGGATCCTATGTTCCTTGGCGGCTCATTGGATGAGCTTGTGGAGGACTGGCACAGCCAACTCTCCACAGCCATCAATAAGATCACTCCCCGATGCCCTCTGTGCCCCCGTATCAGGCTGGCTCCATGGTTTACTCCTGTGCTGCGTCTGATGAAGCAGAAGCTAAGACGGCTAGAGAGACAGTGGTAGTGTGCCTGCAGCAAAGTGACAAGAACATTCTATAGGTCGTTTATGAGGACCTATGAGATGGCAATCAAGGCTGCAAAGAGAGTATTATGTGGCCACGATTGCGTCTGCAAGCTCATGCCTGGCCCAACTGTTTAGAACGATTCGGTCCTTGACTACTCTGCCTCAGACCATACCAAATGTTAGGGAATTGGACATTGACTGTGAGGCTTTTGTGAGCTTTTTCACAGATAAAGTCCTGTCGCTCCGCCGCAACCTCCCCACCACAGTTGAGACAGTGAGTGAACTTGAGGCTCCATGCATGTCTTCTAATCTGGTTATGGATTGGTTCAATCAGCTCAGCCTAGAGGAAGTGACAGAATATTCATAACTGTATGCCCTACCACCCGCAGCCTTGACCCGTGCCCATTATGGCTGATTAAAGCTAGCCATGATGAGTTGCAACGTTCCCTACGGGAGATTGTCAATTATTCCCTTTCTGAAGGAACATTCCCAAGGGCTCTTAAGGAAGTGGTAGTCTGCCCACTCTTAAAGACACCATCCTTGAACCCGGCAGAATTGGAAAATCACTGGCCAGTTTTCAACTTGCCCTACTTGTCCCGGTTAGATTGGCTTGTACCCTAAGGTCACCCAGCCGGCTGGCCCATTGGGGCAGGGGGAAGCCTCTATTCTCCGGCATCAAGCCTTCGAAGAGGCTAACCCTCAAAAGCCCCCTGGCCTGGAACCCTTCACAAGGGCTCCGTGGGGGGGCCACTTGAGGGTGTGCTAGTCGCCTCCTCGAACATCGAGGAGAGTGCCCGCCATCGCCGATCCACCCACCAGAAGTTGTCATCTGCATATCTCAAAAGGTTAATGTTCCTTCTACCAATTTCCAGTCCACCTTTATCTAATTGTAATCCAACTTTTATGATCATTACGCATATAAATTGAACAGACAGACACACAAAACATCTTTGTATAACATCTTTGCTAACCATAGCCTCCTGGCCAGAGTATAGGTTGCATCAAAACCTCCGCACCAGAGTACAAGTTGCGCACCAAAACAATCAGATGATGTGGCACACCCATTTCATTAAAAACCATTCACAGATTTTCATGATCCACTAAATCAAAAGCTTTGCTGTAATCTATGAAACAAAAGCTAGCTGATTTTCTTCTGAAATTCTCTCATATGTTCCAGGAACCAAGGTAAATTTGCAATATGATCTCAAATGCCTCTTCCTTTTCTGAATACAGCTTGAACATCAGGTATTTCTCCTTCCATATATGGTAATGGTCTTTGTTATAAGATTTTGAGCATCACTTTACTCATGTGAGAAATTAATGCAATGGTCTGATAGCTGCTGCAGTCTTTGACATCTCCTTGTTTGGAATTAGAAAGTAGATTGAGCATTTCCTGTCTGTGGGTCACTGTTTTGTTTTCCATATTTGTTGGCATATTCTTGTTAAGATTTTGATGGACTCTGTTTCTGTGGCTTGAAATAGCTCTATTGATATCCCATCTCCTTCTGGTGATCTGTTTCTCCCAATTGCTTTGAGTGTAGCTTTCCCACTATTTTCTAAAAATGAAGGTGGTTCTTCAAAAGATTCTTCTTGAAAGGAATTTGTCATCCTTTCATCTCGTCTGCATAGTTCTTCAGTATATGGTTCCCATCTTTTCTTTATTTTGTCCTTCCATGGATTGTGGAAACTCTGTAGACTGACAGTGCCATCCTAAGCAAAGTTATGCCCTACTAAATCCATTGAAATTAATGGGTTTAGATAGGTGTCACTGTGCTTGGGATTGCACTGCAAATCATCATACTGGTGGCACTGGGGAGAGCACCTTTTACTTCGGAACCATAAAATGAAACAGCTACCTGAACCCTATAAAACTCAACAATAAGTCTTAAAAAAAAAGAAGACTTAGGAACCACTGTCAAAATACAGTTGCCAGAGACAGCTGGACTAGGATCTGGAAGATACAGGCTGGAATTCCCACAGCCATGGAAGCTTGCAGGTTGACCTTGGGCCAACTGCACATTTTCAGCCTAAGCTACCTCACCAGGGTTGTTGTGAAGATAAAATGGAAAGGTGGAGAGAGGTGTAAGCCACTTTGGGTCCTGACTGCAACCCCCAGAATTAGAGAAAGCAGTTTTACAGCACAATCCTACAAAGAATAATGCATAGGACTGCACTCTTAGATATGTGAATAGATACACTACAGGATAGAACACAGTTGTCCACAGCAAGATGCTGGATGTGCTGAGGAGGTAATGGAAGCAATTGCAGGAGGGTATGTTGGGCAAGAAGCAGCTACTTGAAGCTCTCTTCTAAAACTATCATTTCAAATAGAACCCTGTGAAATGGATTTCTGGAGCATTCATACAATTGGCAGACTCCATCTTCTGGGGGTCAGAGTCTAGAGTGGGCACACCCTCCAATAACTCCTTTCTGCTGGCAGTGCCCTGCCCTCCCCTCCCCTGAGGTTTACAGAGGCTGTTCTGCCAACCGGCCAGGCTGCTGCCAGCCTCCTCCTCCTCCAGCCTGTCCTTCTGCCAGGTTCTGAGGCCACTGCTGGCCCATCTCCAGTTATGGTCTCACTCTTGTTCCTTTCTCTACAGATTCTGGTCAGACTGCCCGATTCTCCAACCCAGTTGCCCAGATGTGGTTCCACTCTCCTATGAACACGTGCAAACCTTTCTGAACATACATTGAGAGCCACGGAGTTAATGGGGCTCGCTCTCCAGTAACCCTGAACAACATCTCCGTTTTAACAATACTGCTCATGCTCCGGAGCAGAAGACGGCGAAACATCTTCTCTGACCCCTTCGAGGAAGGCGCGTGCCTTGATAATGCCTGACCCCCGGGCCAGTGATTTCGAGCACGGTGCCAGCGGTACCAGTTACTCTGGACTAAATAAGCACCCTCGAAGAGAAGAACAGCAGAACCAGGGAGCAACTCCGCGCGTCCCCTCCCCCCCTTACCTGCATGTTGTCCTCGAAGGCTCCCCACTCCGCCGCAGCCCCACCCCGCGGCCCTCCAGCTCCAGCAGCGGTCCCGGGGCCGGACATCTTCCCACCAGCCGCTCAGGGGGAGCAAACGTGCCCCCCCCCCGCGACAACGGCAGCCGCAAACTCGGGCCCGATAAAGGGAGAAAGACCCGGATGTACACAACAGCTGACGACGACGTGGAGGCTCAGTAGCTCTCGCGATATTGTATGGCGGCCGGTCTGACAACGGGCTCGCGCTTGCTTGGTGTGAGGAAAGCTAACCTGGGAGGGACATCATGAACCAGAGCCCGCGCGCGCCCCCCCCCCCCCGGCAAAGTTTACACGGAACATGAAGGTTAGCAATGAGCAACGTAATTTCTGACGTATAAGAGCGTATCTACGCTTGGACGGCGTATATCACATGTTGTACGGGACCCCGCCCCCTTCCTGACGGCTGAAGACTACTGCTCTGCGTCAGAGGGACGCTGTTTCCTAGGCGAAAGATGGCGGCGCCCGGCGGTGTGGAAGAAATGAGAAGTCGCGTGGTTCTAGGCGAGTTTGGAGTTCGCAACGTGAGTTAGATCAAGCTGGATGGGTGACAAATGCATAGAGGCGCCTGAAGAGTGCACTAATCTTTGGGGCATGCGTCTTCTTGGGGGCCGGGAAAGAGACGCACGCAGATAGGGCGCATTTCTTATTGTAGGTTTGGTGCTTAAGACTGTTGGCCTGTGGCTTTTAGTCTAACGTATGTTTCTCACATGCAAGTCATCACGTGTCAGATGCTGATGAATAACATGCCCGTCTACTCCGATTTCGACCCTGTGTTCTTTAGGAAGCGGTGGAAAACGAGTTTATAGCACCTACCCACTTTTGTTGTTTTTCCAGGTCCATACTACAGATTTTCCTGGGAACTATGCTGGGTATGATGATTCCTGGGATAAGGAGAAGTTTGAAAAGGTGGGAATTTCTGGTTTTTGAAGAAATGGATTGCAATATCTTCGGCACTATAGGTGCTGGTTTTGTGCCAGCTGGGTGGGCTTGAGGAATGCCCTGTATATATGTTTTCTTATGTTTCTTATTTTCTGTTAAGGTAATATGGGATTTGTTGGGCCTTCCTTTCCTCAAACTGACTTGTAGAATGTAGTTCTTATCTCCCAGAGCAGACCAAGATATTGATATGCAGCACTGCAGCAGGTCAGGTGACAATCTGATTTATGCGTCTGACGCATAAAAAAATAGTAGAAAAGAGTAAGAGTCCAGCAGCCAACAAGTGGTAGGGTATGAGCTTTCATGAGTCACTGCTTCAGATACCCGGTGTGAGGATTATTGGTCAGATCCCATTTGATCTAGATTAAGAGGTATTTTTGCAATGGTACTTGCAGATTTATGCCTGATTTTAAACTTTGTTCCTCTTTTGTCCCAGCAGAATTTCAGAGTAGATGTTATTCACATGGATGAAAGCACTCTAGAATTTGACATGGTGGGAATTGATGCAGCTATTGCAAATGCCTTTCGACGCATCTTGCTTGCTGAGGTATCCATTTCTCTTGCTAGGCTAGTAACAAAGACTTCCCCAGATACTCTTTTGGTTTGGGATTGTATGACCCAAGTATGGCTAATGCTACTTTTTGCTATTACAAAATGGTAACTTACATAAGAACATAAGAGACGCCAATGTTGGATAAGGCCCATCCAGTCCAACACTCTGTGTCACACAGTGGCCAGAAATACCAAGTGCCATCAGGAGGTCCACCAGTGGGGCCAGGACATTAGAAGCTCTCCCACTGTTGACCCCCCCCCCAAGCACCAAGAAGACAGAGCATCACTTGCCTCAGAGCCCCTATCTATACCTTGTGGCTAATAGCCACTGATGGACCTCTGCTCCATATGCTTATCTAATTCCCTTTTGAAGCTGTCCATGCTTGTAGCCTTCACCACTTCCTGTGGGAGACCTACCTGCTCTATCCCATGCATAATCTTATAAACCTGAACTATGTTCAGGTGGGTAGCCATGTTGGTCTGAAGCAGCAGAACGAAGTTTGACTCTAGTGGCACCGTTAAGACCAACAAAGTTTTATTCTGGGTCTAAGCTTTTATGTGCTTGCACACTTCTTCAGATTTGAAGAAGTGTGCATGCACACAAAAGCTTACAGCCAGAATTAAATTTTGTTGGTCTTAAAGCTGCCACTGAACTCAAACTTTGTTCAGGTAACTGTGCTGTTTTAAATATACAGAACAGGTTTTTTCTCTTAAGAGTACCTTTCTAATAAAGGTATATGATATTTTTATCCAGTCATAGTGAAAATTGGGAAGGCTTCTCAGAGGCTTTAATCACCATTAGGATGTTGCCCCTGAGAGTTGTTCTTTGCCATAAGAGGGAGCTGGTATTACTAGTAGCTACAAATAAGGCCTAATAGCTTTAAAGCACATGGAGCTGAGTTCCTGTTCTGCAGTAAATATCAGAAATTTATTCCTTTTTGTTATTAAAAAGCTTGTAACTAACCTGTAAGCTCTGAAATTAATAACAATTTAATTTAAAAAAGAAATGCTTCATCATTTCAAGGAAAAAAGTAGGCATTCATGAGTTTCGCGTACTGTTGTGATCTAAATCCCCCCCCTTGTCTAGGTGCCAACCATGGCTGTGGAGAAGGTCTTTGTGTACAACAACACCTCCATTGTGCAAGATGAAATCCTAGCCCACCGCTTGGGGTTGATCCCTATACGTGCTGATCCTCGTCTCTTTGAATACAAGAGTGAAGGTGAGACTCTGTGGAAGGGATTTATGCAGAATTTGTTGGGTAAATCAAGCTTAGATCCTACACAAGGGTATATCATTCTAAGCCAGAGGTGTTGCTCAGGGAAGTTTCAGTCTTACTTTTTTATTCTTTTGCAGAAGATGAGTGTGATGAAATTAACACTCTGCAGTTCCAGTTGAAAATTAAGTGCAGCAAGAACCCTCAGGCAGCCAAGGAGTCATCTGATCCTAATGAACTGTACATCAACCATAAAGGTAAAACAAATTGAGGGAAAATGTCTTCTGCTGTCCCATGGCTCTACTGTACTGACTCTTCTTTTGGAGACACTCATGCCAAAAATCCCAGCCCCTTCACTCTTCTATTGCTGTCCTCCAGGAGTTCTGAAGAGAGGTATCTGAGTGGCTACTTAGATACAGGCAGAACTTATTTTGTGGCCTTTGTTTTTCACAGTCTATAGCAAGCACATGGAATGGGTGCCACTGGGGTCTCAGGCAGACAATCTGAATGCTGACTTCCGTCCTGTACATGATGACATCCTCATTGCCCAGTTGCGTCCCGGCCAAGAAATCGATGTACTTATGCATTGTGTAAAGGGCATTGGTAAGGTAGCTTGCTGGCATTGATAATATACATTTTGTGTGGCCAGGGAATGCTGGAATTTCTGTGTATAGCTACTTCTGGTGCAAGATCTTGTTAATCTAAAGGACATCTTTATGAGAATGCTTTTAAGAGATGTTCAGTGTGTCTTTATTTTGGTTGAATAGGCATTCTGGATTCTAGGCCATTCATCAACTAGGATGTGCGGAGTATAAATATAATTAATTAATTAATAACTAGCTATAGCTCTTCTTTGCAGTGTGGAACACAGTTCTCACTGGTCCATGATGCTTTGCAAGTATCATTACACTTGTGTTATCATTAAAGTTGCAGGTAGCTTGCTGGCATTGATAATATAAATTTTGTGTGGCCAGGGAATGCTTTATGAGATATCTTTATGAGAATGCTTTTAAGAGATGTTCAGTGTGTCTTTATTTTGGTTGAATAGGCATTCTGGAGTCTAGGCCATTCATCAACTAGGATGGGCGGAGTATAAATTTAATTAATTAATTAATAATCCTGAGCCCACAGGGGAGGGCGGGGTATAAATATGAAAAATAAATAAATAAATAAACTAGCTATAGCTCTTCATTGCAGTGTGGAACACAGTTCTCACTGGTCCATGATGCTTTGCAAGTATCATTACACTTGTGTTATCATTAAAGTTGCATTCCTCTGTGGCTCCAGGTTTAAGTAAAGCCTGCTTTTTTTAATCATTGCTTGGACAGTTCTTGGCTTGAACTAGGTCTTTAAGGGTCCAAGTAACAAAAGCCTACATTTGCCTTACCAGTATATACCATGATGGGTCAAATCTGTTTAATTACTGTATTTATAGTTCACCTTTCCTGGTGAGATGACTCTTCATATGGATTGTTATTGATAACACTCCATCTGAAGAGGCATCTAGTAAGCACAGTGTTGGTTGATACAAGCAAAATGAGGAGACTCGTATGGAGTTGAAAGTATGGGGTCCAAGGCTGCTCACCAGTCATAGATAAAACAATTTTTTTTAGCATATTTTAAGCACCAATACAATATGGTAGGATATTAAGATTTGCTCAGGAGCAGGATGACAGCCAGGTTGCTGTGAATGTGAAACATCAGGAAAGAGAAGAAAAAGAAAACATGAATGATTATCACAAAATCTTGGATGAAGAGTTTGTCTGGCACATTAACAACAACAAAAATAATGCTCCAGTTGGCTTTCCCTTGGGACAGAGGATGGGGGGGGGCACAATTGCAGAAAAAGCCTCCTACTTTAGTCTTATGTACCTATTTTCTAGATGGCAGGGTGCCTCAAGAATGTCCACTGATGATCATCTTCAGAGGGAGGCAAGTTTGTACAGAAGGAGGCGGCCCTACAGTCTGTCCACAGTACCCCTCCCTGAGCTTCCTGTTTATTTAACATACTTCTTTCTTTAGGTAAAGATCATGCAAAGTTTTCTCCAGTGGCCACAGCCAGCTACAGGCTATTGCCAGAGATAACTCTACTGCAGCCTATTGAAGGGGAAGCAGCTGAGAGGCTGAAGAAGTGCTTTTCTCCTGGGGTTATAGAGATTCAGGAAATCAAAGGTATCTGGCAGCTCCTCCATTGATACTGTAAAACTCATATAAAGTGTACTCACCTATGAAAAACTGCATGACCTAGATTCAGCTCCTACTGTCTGTGCACATGATCTCAGCAGAGTCAGTAGCATTCTGAAGAGGCATCTAGTAAGCACAGTGTCGGTTGATACAAGCAAAATGAGGAGAATCTTATGGAGTTGAAAGTATGGGGTACGAGGCTGCTCACCAGTCATAGATAAAACAAATTTTTAAAGCATATTTTAAGCACCAATACAATAATAAGATATTAAAATTTGCTCAGGAGCAGAATGACAGCCAGGTTGCTGTGAGATGTGAAACAACAGGAAAGAGAAGAAAAAGAAAACATGAATGATTATTACAAAATCTTGGATGAAGATTTTGTCTGGCACATTTAAAACAGTAACAACAACAAAAATAATGCTCCAGTTGGCTTTCTCTTGAGGCAGAGGATGGGGGGGGGCACAATTGCAGAAAAAGCCTCCTACTTTAGTCTTATGTACCTATTTTCTAGATGGCAGGGTGCCTCAAGAATGTCCACTGATGATCATCTTCAGAGGGAGGCAAGTTTGTACAGAAGGAGGCGGCCCTACAGTCTGTCCACAGTACCCCTCCCTGAGCTTCCTGTTTATTTAACATACTTCTTTCTTTAGGTAAAGATCATGCAAAGTTTTCTCCAGTGGCCACAGCCAGCTACAGGCTATTGCCAGAGATAACTCTACTGCAGCCTATTGAAGGGGAAGCAGCTGAGAGGCTGAAGAAGTGCTTTTCTCCTGGGGTTATAGAGATTCAGGAAATCAAAGGTATCTGACAGCTCCTCCATTGATACTGTAAAAATCATATTAAGTGTACTCACATATGAAAAACTGCATGACCTAGATTCAGCTCCTACTGTCTGTGCACATGATCTCAGCAGAGTCAGTAGCATGTAGTGGTTAGAATGTCAGACAAGGATCTGGGAAACCCAAGTTTGAACCCGCAGTCTGCGATGGAATCTTGCTGGGTGACCTTAACCAGTCACACACTCTCAGCCTAACATACCTCACAGGGATTTTGTGAGGATACAAAGGATGAAAGGAGAACAGTGTACTCCACTCTGACTCTCCATAAATTAAGTAAGTAAACAAATGTGTGTGCAGTGTGGTCTGTGGCCTGATCAGCAGCAGCAGAACACCCCCCCCCCCGGGGGTCTGGGTGATCTGTGAATTGTTGCTTGTTCATGCTTTCCCGGTCTAACTGGCAACCTGAGAAGGTTCTCTTGTCAGTAACTGTCTAAACACTCTCTCAAATACTAAGACTGCAGTGTTTTGTATACCTGTCCGAGAGCCTAGTTGAACTCGCTGGACCCTTGTCTCTAACAAAGACACATATGATTAGGCTGCACTTGTTAGGCCAGACTGGCAAAGTATTCATTGTGAGCTCAGTGTCAATGAGCAGTGCCATTTTTTGAGACTATAGCATAAAATTTCTTTGGATTCCTGTTTCTTATGAGGCGGTATGGTTTGTATTTGCTATGCAGTGGCAATTGGGGAAAGAACAGAATTCAGCAGCAGATGGGGGCAATTAAATCTTCACATTTACTTTGGCTCTTAAGCATTGCTTTGCTTCTCTAGGGAAAAAACTGGCAAGAGTGGCCAATGCTAGATTAGATACATTTAGCCGGGAGATTTTTCGTCATGATGATTTGAAAACCCTTGTGCGGCTGGCTCGAGTGCGAGATCACTACATCTGTAAGTAACTTTGTCACTGTTTCTCTTCTGTTTGGCTCCTTTTGTGATCTTAGTACACAGCAGGGAGTAGATAGTTCAGTCTTCTGGCTTCTTCTGCTTAAAAACTATTATAAATTGGAAGACAAATTTATGTGTCTTCTGATACATTTTAAAAATTGAGGTAATCAGCCCATCAATCATGCTTGAAAACTGGTGCTGACTCTTGTGTTTGAGACATGTAGAAGGTAATAGGATAGATGAGGGCCAATAAATTGATGTTCAGCTCAGACAGTACTGAGGTGTTGTAGGTCAATGGAGAAGCTGCTTGGGGATTACATAGTCAGCCTGTCTGGAATGGGTTGCATATCCCCAAAAGAGGTTTGCAGCTCAGGGGTGCTCCTGGATCCAGGCCTATGGTAGATCTTGGCATGTAGTGCCTTTTATCAGCTCCAATTATGTTGCTAGGTTTGAGCATTCCTCAAAAAGTGTGATGTTGCCATGGTGATCCATGCGCTGATCACATCCAACTTAGATTACTGTAATATACTTTATTTGGGGCTGTCTTCGAAAACTGCCCAGAAATTTCAGTTGGTCCAAATCGTGGCAGCCAGACTATTGTTGAGTTGATTAAAGAGATACTACCCTTTTACTGAAAGATCTGCATTGGTTACCTGTTACACAAATCAAAAGTGCTGGTTCTTACATTTAAGGCCCTAAAAGGGTACCTGAAGGACCATCTCCTGTGCCTCCTGCCTTCAGAGATGAGGCGGGCAATGACTAGATACAGGGCATTTTCTGTGGTAGTACCTGGCCTATGGAATGCCCTGCCCCTTGAGGTGGGCCTGGTACCTACTTTTTTAGGTGTCAGGCCAAAAAATTAGGGTTTTTATTTATCAACTTTTTAAAATAGTCTGCTGTTTTATGGATCTTTTATGTCCAATGGCTTGTTTTTTAATGACTTTTTATCTTGACAGTATTTTATTTGTAAGCTGCCTTAAGATGGACTTTGAAGAGATGCCTTAGAAATATCCTACATAAACCATAAAACTGAACCATAAAAGATATACAAATAGGACCTGAATTGTTCTTCCTCCCCTAGTGAAGATTAGCATTTTTTAATAGCATGGAGTGAATTCTGTGAGGAATTTGAGATGTCTTGGCAGAAGTACTTACTTTTGATTAGCAATGGCTAGGATCAATGAAGGCCTGACACTAGCCTCTGTTTCTACAGTCTCCGTGGAATCCACAGGTGTTCTGCCTCCAGATGTGTTGGTGAGTGAAGCAATCAAGGTGCTAATGGGAAAATGTCAGCGCTTCTTGGAGGAGCTGAAATCTATTCAGAGGAAATAAGAAGCTTGTGTTCTTTAGACTTCAGCATAATGATCTGCTTAGTTGGGGTGCTTGCAGCTGTGACTTGAAGGATGGCTTCCAACCAAGTTGTCTGTTATATCATCATATGGATAACTCTCTACCATGGATATGAAATATTGGGACTGAATACTTTATGCTTTCTATTTTGGGCAGTAACTTGATCAATGGTTGAGAATCTCAGAGGAGGACTAATACACTGTGGAAGCCTGTGAATGGACAGACTGCTGGAAATAAATTGCGGGACCTCCCAAGTTGCTTGGCTTGCCTTCAGTTATATCTCCCAAGGAGAACAAAGCTTTGTTAACTGGTGAATCACCTGTCAAACAGGTCACAACAGCTGTCTCTTTAGTGATGTGTACTGGCAAGATTTTTGTTTTATGTAGTACGAGGTCTTGTGCTAATGCCTGTAATCTGTGTACCACACCAAAAATGGAAGTTTAAGAATGTGATTCATTTCTTAACTGCTTTGTTTCTAGCTAGTAAAGAAGCTGGTGTTATGGTATGACTTTATGGAAGGGGGAAGGGAGAGAGAATGAGACACTAGTATTATGTCCATTTTAATTTCAAGATCATCCAAAAAGCTCTGTAACTGAATTGCCACAGCCCTCTCTATTATCTTGCCCAAATAGGGGACGTTGGAGACCGGCCGGTAGTTCGCCCATTCAGCCGGGTTCAAAGATGACATTCTAGAGAGGATGAACCACCGCTTCCTTGAGTGCCCTCGGGAACAGTCCCTCCAAGGGGGACTTGGTGACGACTTCCCTTAGGGCACCTTGAAACCCCTCACAGCCAGCTTTAATTAGCCATGAAGGGCGTGGATCCAGGAAGCACGTGGTGGGGCGTACAGTTAGGAATAATTTGTCAACTTCCTCTGGGCTGAGTGGACTGAAATGATCCATAACCTGACCAGAAGATGTGCATGGAGCCTTGAGTTCACTCACTGTTTCAAGTGTGACGGGGAGGTCACGGCGGAGCGACAAGACTTTGTCTGTGAAATAGTTCGCAAAGGCCTCACAACCAATGTCCAAATCCCTAGCATTTGGCCTACCCTGTGGCAGAGTAGTAATAGACCAAATTGTTCTAAACAGTTGGGCTGGGCGTGAGCTCGCAGATGTAATCGTAGCTGCATAGTACTCTCTCTTCACAGCTTTGACTGCCATCTCATAGGATCTCATAAACGTCTTATAGGATGCTCTTGTGGCTTCGTCGTGGGCACGAATCTGCATACAACAGACTGCTGCAGATTGCAGTTTCTTCTGTTTGTTAGCATTACTGGTTTGCACTAGTAAAAAAGTTGTGAAGAGGAAGCTGAGGGTGTGCACAAAGCACTTGTGTGTAATCTAGATATGACAGAACTGGAAGCTCTCGCGAGCTGCTGTAGGTGTGGTAATTTTGGAATTAAGTTTTAACATGAGAATTTCTGAAGCTGAAAATGGAAACAACATTGAAACAGAAAATCTGATTTGTTACTGTGTTTTTATAAAAGAGTAAAGTTCTGTCCAGGCTTTCAGAGTTTTAATCTGCTGGAGACTAGTTTTCGTGACAGTCGGCAAAAGAGTGCTATGATATTCTAGCAATAAAAAAACAAGCCAGGAAAAGATCTGCTCCAAGGCCTGAAGTGTCTTGTCTACCTGAAAAAGGTTTGGAGTTCTCCTTACCGATACATGACCTGCTGTTCATGAGAGCGTGTAACTAAATTAAATGATCTAGATAAACTTTTGCAAAATAAGGGTCTAGTATGGAGAGACAGAACTTGCTTTAAATTATAGAGAAGTGATTTTAAAAAGTGTGAAAAGTTGGCTGCTGGATTATTTTGGTACATATTTTCACTACTTGGGTAAAATGGGTATAGCAAACAGGGAAAGTCATTGCACACATACATGTCTTAAGAAACCTCTGCATCAGACGTGTTCTCAAAATGAACCTCCTCCGGCCTGACTCCCCAAAAGAAAATCCCAGTCCTAAATGCTGTAGATAACTTTTGCATGTCAGCCTAAGAGTAAGCCAGTTAACATCGATGAGCAGAAACCATGTTAATTTTATAAATAAAGGACAAAGTAGGGAATAATTTAAGAGAAGGAAACTCTTTTTGTAAAATGTAGGCCTTTGTGCAGCTGGCAAGCTGACCTCTTTTGCAAAGATGAAATACATTGGCAGTGTACAAATGAAAATTTGTGTTTTGTCTTGCCTCCTGCAGGGGTGTGCTTACATGACCTGCTTGGTTTTGTATTGCATGGTCTCTCCTGGGGACAGTTATCAACTTGCAGAGGTACAAAAATGGGGACTCAAGTAGAAGAAAAATTCTTGCTTCCTAATCTTTTACACCAGGCATTATTTGGTACCTGTGCTTTCTGTACGTTTCTATAGGTGGTCTTCTGTTGTGGAGCCCATTCTTTAAAATGTTTAGTGCCATGAAAACACATCTGCAATGCAGAGAAACACTGTACAAGTGAACAGTATAGAAGCCAAGCCTTAGGTTCTAATTCAGGCAGACTGTTTTTGGTGTGATAGAGAAGTAGAGGCACACTGGTTATACCAGAGTGCAGTACTGGACTAAACAAGGAGAAGCTGAGTTTCAATCCACACAGCCATAAAGTTTATTCAATATCTTGATTGTGGATTTTCATGGCAATGTTTTTTGTGGCTAGAAATGAAATTTCCATCCCATTTCCAACAATGAGTTAAAGCTGCTTTCATTTCAAAAAGGGACCCAAGAATGCTATTTTTCTGATTTCAGCAAACTCCATAATTGCCAAAGCTATTCTGTACAAATTATGTTGTTTAGGTGCCATTTTGACACAGGTTTTATACTCTGTCCCTATTTTCAAACAGCTAAACAGCAGCAGCTTTGCAAAGCATTGGCAATATTTTAATCCACCATGCTGGACTCACTGTATTTTATTGTTGCTGATAATAATTGTTGAGTATGTTCATTATACCTAAATCTGACCAAGGTTCCCCTTTAACAAAAACCTGGACTTAGGAAGCATTTAGATAGCAGCTCATGTTCTTCCCCACCCTTCTGATAGGAAGTTATACAGTACAATTTGGATATGCTTTAGTGACCTACTTCCTTCCACCATGGTTAGGTTTTTTTTGTTCCTCCTATACATTTATTCGCATTATTAAAAACTTTGCTTCTACTTGAAGGGCAGAGTCTAAATGTTAACTGCCTTCTTACATAGCCAGTTTTCCATGTGTTTTGGATAGTGAACAAAGATTCTCTGCCCCCTTGCTAGGCAGTGCATGAAGGCTGAAATTACACATGAACATTGTTCAATGTTTTCAGGTTACATGCTTAGCCTTCTCCTTGAGCCCTACACCATGTTTTGCTGTCTGTGTTTAAACATCTTGCTCAGTACCCTGTCTCCTTCAGCAGAAAAAAAGGACACACTATGGGCAACTATCTTTGCAGGAGATTTGCTACACTACCTTGCTTCTCTTTCCCCCTGCCTAAGTTTCTCCATCAGAAAACAATTTTGTCTAGTGTGGCAAGAAAAAAACCTTTAATCCAGCTTTTTAAGACTTCTTTAAGACCAAAAAGAGATAGCAAAGTATAGTGATGATCAGAAGAATGCTACAGTTAGTAGTCTTAGCAAGAAAACCTGCAAATAGAGGGTGCATCTCTGTTTTTACAATATTATCTTGTTGCAAGTATATTATAATCCAGACATATAGTGTTCTGAAGCAATGAAAAATGCACTGCGTTGACTGCTTTGTCAATAAGCTTATCTAAACTTGATATTATATTGTTCTGGTTACTAGGAAAATAGATAGGAGGTTGACATAGCGCCCATTTGAGCTTAATTAAGCACAGTGGTCTAACATGATTTAGATGTTTTTCACCCAATATTATTTTTAACTCTTAAAAAGAAGGCAAAATGGTTTTTTGGGGCTTTTCAGCTATGAATTTAATTCTACCACTAACTGATAATTTTGTTACTAAAAAAAAAATAACATACTGATGATCTAAAGAATCGGGCAGCAATGCAAACTTGGCACCAAATCAAGCAGCCAGAAGAATGCATGTATAGAACTGAAAAGACCTTTACTGACATTCAGGTGTATCACAGTTCATTCAGAGACATTTGCAGATAGAATACCCCTACAAAAGAACCCTCTAAGATTTTAAATGTTCATGGTCACAGAAAGTTGACACAATAAATACAAACTGCCTTTACAAGAGCTATTGTCATGGGACTTTTATTTTATTAAAAAGTTACTAGAGGGACACAATAGGTATGAAGAAGTCCCAGTGGAGTTTGACTAAAAGTAAGGATCTGAATGTAATCACAAAGGTTGTCCACCTTGCTAGGGCTAGATCCCTCTTAAAATGTACCTTGCTTCAGTAAAACACTCTTATACTTCCTCAGTCAAACTACGGTAGCAGTTTAAGCAAAGGTCTTCTAGTTGTTACACAGCACTGAAGGAGTGACTTCAAATCAGCCCAAAAGTAGCTGTGGGCTGCTGTTCACTAGAATATGCAGGCTGCTGGCAGCTGAAGCCAGGTTTGGAAGTAGGAGATCTGCTTTGATAACACTTCTAGGATTAAAGGTCAGCCTTGTTTCACACTAGACCTCTGGAGGCATGGCAGAGTCAAACCGACAACAGAAGCCGTTTCTTACTGAACTCTCCTTGCTGTTGGCAGATATGTGCTATTTTCTTGAAGAAAATACTAAGATTAATTCATGGAGCTGCGGGGGGGGGGACTACAGCAACCAGAGTGCAGCCGTTTTACCTCAAGAAAACTGTGCCGTTCCAAAAGAAAAGCAGAATGAAGCCCATGTTAGTGTTGCATTGAGGCAGCCGCAGTGCAGATATTCTGAATGAAAAATGACAGGTATACTAGGGATCTGCTCTCACGCTTCCTCCTTGGGGAAAGTATTATGTGTTTCGGTGGAGGCTAGTTCCTAGAGGGCCAGCACAAGCGGGGGTGGGGGTAAAACTGAACTAAGGTCTCTATGCTAAATGGCTGGGCTCTATCCAAGAGACAGCCAGTTGTACACTAAGCTGGGTGGGGGGGACGGGGACAGGCAGGTTACACTTAGCAAACTGGACTGAATGTGTAGTCCCCATCTCCCAACCAGAAAGGGGATGAGGCTAGTAAGAACTTTATCCAGGCTCTGGAATGAGCAGACAAAGTAAATAACTGGGTACTGTGAAAGAACACACCATACAATGGCATAGGTGCACTGGAAGAGTTCTGAATTTATGATTCAAAGAGTGTGAGGAGGGGTCCATCTTCAATGGTATCCAATACATCTGTGTCTACAGGTGGTTTCACCTTTTTGAAAAGAGATGGTAGGTTTCTGATATGAACTTCCTTGCGGAACTGCTCCCCTAGAGGCTTCTATAAAGAACAAGAAAAGTCTGCATTAGGTATAACACATCTGCAAGCGTTCCACCAGAATGTCTGATGGTGCCTAAGCGATAGAACTTCTCTTTTGATTATAGGAACACTGTCTTGAGGTCACTATGGATGCGCATTCCTTTATTAACCAATGAAAAAGACATGAATTAAAAAGAGTTAATTACTAAATGCCTTTTAGTGAGCCTATCAGGAAACGTTTCCAATCCAAATGATAAAACAGGTCTTTGAGCAGAAAAGATTTCTCCTGATCAGTCTCTTTCCACTGAAGGCTTGAGGAGGGCTCTTACGTAAGCAGTGTGTGTGTGTGTGTGTCCCCCGGATCTCTTCGTCTGAGCTCCTTCTGTTTTGAGACAGCATTGTCTGATCTTTCTGTCAGCGTTGCTATTGTGTGCAGTTGTAACACATGAATAGTCTGCCTGCATTCTATGGATTGCCGAACACACCCCTTTGCTCATTCTGCAACAGTGCCTGTTTTCTTGGGGCGGGTGGCCTACAGAACTGGAACACTTTTTCCTGTCTGCCTGAAAGTAGACAGGGATGGTCCTTTGGATGAGCGGCACAATCTCTGAAGGTCTCATTGAAAGTGAATAGGGAAAAGAAAAAGATGCAGTTGGAAGCATGTTTCTCTAGGGAGGAAATGTGCACACCCTTGGAGGATGAATACTTCATGAATCTTAGTTCTGAATGTTGGTTTTTCACATTGTACCCAACCCTCTGTGACAGCACCATGCCACAGCTCTAAAATTCCAGGGAAGGCTTTAACTCCTCCTTTCCCCCTAGTTCCATGTTGCTCAGGTAGATTCCTTTGCATGTGGCAAAAGCTAATGTAGGAGACACAGTCACAAGAGGACAAAGACAATTCCAATGATGGTTAAGGCCTGGCCAGCATGCCTCTTCATCTGGAGCTGAAACATGACCAGCTTAACTTGATCTGGGAACACTGTTTTCATACAAAGTAATGAATGTTCTCCAATGATCCAGTAAGGTTCAAGCCCCTTACAATATGAACATCATCTGAGAACTTTTGGAGCTCATATCCAAGGATCAATATTGTAGGCATCTGCTGCTCACACTGAAACTTGATAACTACCTGTGGAACTTACACCACAGGGTCCTTAGCCCATTATTAGAGGCCCATAGAGCTTGCTCAACAATCTTGCTTAAGGTAAGTTACCATCATGATAGGCAGAAGCTCTAAAAACCTAGTATAAGGATTAATAGTTGATTAATGATATCCAGATAGAGTAGAAAGAAAAAGACTCTTGCCAATAAGGAGGGTGATTTCTCTGCTGTTCTACCAAGACTTACCCCAATACAACCTGCAATTAGGCGTTTGAAATGCTCCTTCCTGCGCTTGTCTGCAGCTTTCTGCAGTGTAGGGTTGAGCAGTTTGGAATCAAATTGCTCCAAGGACTCTGTTTGGATTTCTGGAACCTGTTCCATCACCGTCTTCAGTTCAGTATAGCGTGGACGCTTCAAGTAGCAAAGATGATAGTCAATGGTGAGTTGCCAGAACCGATACTGCCACATAACAAATCCCCTGCCCCCATGAGAACATAGGCATTGACTCAGTACGATCACAATTAATAATCAAAGCTGACAGCAGCCTTCTTCTTACCAAAGCCTCATAGATCTGGAAAGCCAAGTGAACAAGAGCTGCCATACAGCCATCGTGTTGTCCGTGCATCTGTAAGCCTTTCAGCACACTTGTGAAAAACCAGGTCACTGCATCAGGGATCAAAGTCCCAGGGAGCACCTATGGAAGAGACAAGCATGTAGCCAGATAGTAACTCAAGAAAGACCTGCCTGTCTTCCTGGAGTAGACAATGTCTTGCAGTCCTTCATACTATGAACAGTCCCTAAAGGGATAACCCAATTTTAGCCATACTTAACTCACCACACATTTTACTGTTGTTGCACTGGAAGTACCTGTTTGAGCAGTGGCCAGCAGAGTTGGGTGGTGGTTCTTTGGCAGGACAGGGTATCCTTCCAGGAAAGGGAAGTGAAGGCTGTTATCAGCAGAGCAGTGCTGATACTCTGGAAAAAGGAAGGTTTAATATTCATATTTCTGTAAAAGACTTGTTCTTGAAAGGACTTGAATATACTGCGATGCTGAGTATCCGTCAAGCAAAAGAACCAAATTGTCTTCCTTAACTCTACTAAAAATTCTGGCACAGACCAGGCCTATTAAAAAAGATCTTACAAGGTTTAAACCAGTTCTCCACTCAGTGCCAAAATGACTATTGCAGAAACAGCGAGAAATCTTGAGACAGTGCTAATGACTACTTGGAACTAGGAATAAGGACAGTAGGTTACCCAGGGACAACTTCAGGAGTTACAAGGATCCTGCTGATCTGCAAAGATTGTATCTTGGCTAAGGTAGCAATAAAATCTTAGAGTGTGATAAAAATCCATCTGCTTTTTTTAAAAAAAGCATATGGTTTCTCCAGAATTTTCACAGAAAATGCACCAGGTTGGATAATATGTCTATATATGGGAATGACGAAGCCCTTCGTGTTCTTTGAATCTGGGGACAGATGTAACCAACATGGTCTTCTGGCATCTATGGGGCCAAGCTTCGGGAAAGTAAGCATTTTCTGCTGTAAAAAAAACCTGCCCCACCCTTTTGTCCACAGAACTGGCATCTCATCTTCAAAGCAAAATGAAGGAAAGAAATGACCCACTGTCATCCAATATGCCTTTGGGGGTCTTCTAAGTCTTGTAGCAATTAGCTGTGTTTCAGGAGTTCTCTCCATGAAACACCCAAGCTTATTGCCAGGCCCCTATATCATCTTCTAGTGAATCAAACAGGGAAGGGGGAGAGGTGAGTGCTGTAGATTTTTAACGGTCTCATTCACTGATACTTTCAGAACTGAGCAGCCTTTGTACTCCTGCTCTGATGTGTACAATCATGGTTGGTTTTAAAAGAAATGAAATGGTTGCTTCACTATGATTTCTCCCCTGAAGGAAGGCAGCATTAAGAGGAAACTGTTCTCAGAATTAGTTTTGCATTCTTTGTGAATTTTTACCGAACTTCCCAACTTTGGTTTGCTTTGGGGTTCATCTTCAACGGAAGGAAGTTCTCCTTTTAAAGATGAACACACCTACCCTGAGGGCGGAGCTGAAGCTCAGCTTTCTTACCTCTTGCTTCATCAAACATTTGCCCAGTTCAGTGAGCTCAGAGCTGGATGGTGGAGTCACCTCAGTGGACATCATTTCATCATCTAACAAGTAAAACGGCAACATGAACATATTCCTCCAAGGCAAAGAAGTCAGACAAACCAAGGAGCAAGAAACTGAGCTGAGCTAAAAAGACAACAGACATTTTTTGGTAACACTAGTTTTCCCCATCTTGACATAAATCTCTGTGGGATCAGCTTTCAAGACTCCCATTGAGCAAAACTACAGAAGAATTCTAATTGGAGGCAGCTACATTTGTAGAGGAAGAAAACTATTTCTTCACTGCAGTCCCAGCACAGGTTGAACTTTGAACATACCCAGCCTTCTTAGAGCCAGGTAAATTTTTGATGGCTTGGATTCCAGTATTACTGTATCCACTAGAATGTGCACTAGGACCCCATAATATAGACCAGATTACGTACGCTGTGCACTTCATGCAAAGGGCTCTCTTGACTACTGAAATGCAAAACTGTGGAAATCCCATTCACAAAATAAAGGGTACAATAAAAGCCAAGTGTAGAGATAGCCAAGATTGGATTTATACATTTAAAGAGAAATGATTCTTGTAGAGGGCCTCAAATGTTAGGGAGAAAGAACATATTTCAGTACCCACCATCTCCATCTGCAGCAACAGCAGCAGCAGCAACAGCATTATTCTGTTCAGCACTCTTCTTTGAGACACAGCATACAGCTGCAAATACATCAGAGGAAAAGAGACATCACACATTCCCCACAAGGCAAAGCATTTTGTTCCTCCTCTGCAATGCTTGACTTATACTCTCTCTTCTAGAGAACTGAAACAAGTTTGAAAAGGAGAACTAATTTCCACAATTGTGCTAAATTCCTCTAAACAAATAATTGTGTACTGTTAAGTCACAATTGACTCATGGTGATCCCTCATGGGGGTTTTCAAGGCAAGAGATGAGAAGAGGTGGTTTGTTATTACCTTCCTCTGCATAGCAACCCCACTCATCCTAGGTGGTCTCCCATCCAAGTACTGACCGTGGCCAACCCTATTTAGCTTCTGAGATCTGATGAGATCAGGCTAAATACCTCTAGAGAGCATTATGTGTTCCAAGCCTACTCTGGAACCACAAGAGGCCTTTCACAGTCCAAAGTAGTGTTAGGAGTAGTTTAGGGATCATTGGATCAAATTATTACTTGCCTATAGAGCTAAGACTCAGCAGTCAAAGCCAAGCAGTTCAAATTCTGACCTCACTTGGCATTATTTTGACCTGTGGCTTTAAGATTTCATATCTGTGGAGAAATCTTCCCTGTCAGTTTATCTGATAAGAAACCAGTACATCTGATACAGAATCTCTGCATATGGCAAAGGATTCCAAGCCAGATTTCAAAAGACAGTCTAAGATCTCCCTAGTGTTAGCACTTCTATTAACACTTGCCATTATCCTGTGTGATCTAAGAATGTACCATAGAACCTACCTAACACTCCAATGCCACCGTGTGGTTTGGGTGTTTGCCTAAGCAAATAAGTGAAGGAGTGAAAATGTCTTCAACTAACCCAAAGTTAGTTGGGGGCCTCATGTTTGACACCCCTGAACTAAATATTAAGACATCACCTACTGGTTACGTACTCAAAAGATTTCTCAGCCAAGAAAAATTGTATACAAATTTCAATCTGATTATAATGGATACAATTTTTTTAAAATCTCACAGTTAATAAAGATCTATTGAACATGTATTGAATGTTAAATCACTTTTATCTGTATCTCAACCAAGATTTGCCCTAAGAACCCAGAAGCTGATAAAATAATACCTTGACAAGAATAGAAATCTTTGTGGATATGAAGAGCAAATCTATAAGCACCTATGTCTGGGGAAGCCCTCTGAAAGCACAGTGATCCTGCAGACCCCAGTATAAACATTACCACAGGCGTGCCCTCTGTGCTTCTAAGCACTTAACACAGATGGTTCAGGCTTTCCATGCAACTTACTACTATTACTCACTGATCAAGTCCATGACTTCTCGGGTGAGCAGCCTAACCAGCTGTTCCTCCAACATTTCCTGGGATTCTGGGTTGTCATCAGTTGTGTCCTCATCACTGATGGGAGAGAGGGTGGCAGAATTGACTGTTACAGTATAAACATGAGGGAGCCAGCTGATACTAGGCACAAGCCTTAACTTTGTAGGAATTCTAGCTCTCAAGCCTGGAAGACTTTTAAAAACGTTTTCTACAGCTTTACTGTGGGAGGAAAACTTACTATTACTTGCAATCAAGCTATACTAGAGGTGGGCAGCCTTTGGCACATCTGTCAACAGTGACACACTAGACTGTATTTCTTTGCACTCAGGATTAGATCTCTGCCTGAACTACTGAGGCATTGGCAGCACTGCTAGGGCCAGTGGTGTGGGAGAAGACAAGAAGTATGGTTTATGCCTGTCATTGCCTCCCAGACCCGCAAAGCCACCAGCCGAGTCCTGGGTGAATCCCTGAGATACTAGCGGTGCCACTGGGACATGGCTTGCTCCAAAGGTGCCTGGCTAAGTACAGCCTTTGCCTCTCTCCCCAGTCACACCATTTTGTTTGCTGGCACACCACCATGCTGCTATTTTTTGATACTTGGGCAATACAAAGTTCTGTCCAAAGGACAAGTTACAGGCAAGGACCATTTCTTTTGCCAAGCCTCAAAAGAGTGGAGAACAAGTTGCAGCACAATTAGCAGCTACTGATATCAAACCCAACTGCAGAACCAGGGAACTGGTCACTCCAGAAGTATTCTCCAGAGGGAAGCATTTTTGTATTCCTACTTGCTATGAATACCCCCTTCAGGATATGTTTAATATGATCCTGGGAGGAACTGCTGCAGACCAACAGTGGAAGGGTAAATAGAAAGATAGACGTTTCAAGCAGCAGTCTTTTCTGTCCTGATTAAGCCACCACTCTTACCAAAGCAGACCCCGTTGGTTGATGACTTGCCATTTCTGGGACAGCCTCTATCAGAGAAGGGGGGAAAAAGCAACACAAAACAGCATGACAACTAATGGCATACTCTCAGCAGCATGCATATTTTCTGTATTAAAAGGTGTTTTTTTAAGATTCCACATCAAGGCAACCCAAATGCTATGTCAATAAAAACTGTATTCGGTAACTTGTGTGTATTATGCAACTGAGCAGCTATTGACATAATCCAGTCTGCTTCTGTTTTTCCTCCACATATAAATAAAAAAAAAACAGCATCGAAGCACACAAAAACACATTCTCCCCTCCTTGCACTGGAAAATCTGTGCAGTTATATCCTTCACACACATTTGCGATTTCACCAGGCATTGAGCACGTAGTTTGACACTCCTAGGCCCACTACTGGACTATAATATAAATCAAAGCCACTGTGCTACATTGATTCTAGCTTTGGTCTTGGGTGTCAGAAACCCAGGTTGGAATCTGTCTCCAGTCATGAAACTTGCTGTGTATTTGGGCACGTTCCCATTCTGAGCTTCTTGGAGAAAGGGCTGGATGTAGGTGTAACAAACACCTAAGAAAAAACTCTGATAACGGCATGGAAACGCTGACCTGTACTAGCAGCTAACGAGACAAGTCACACACACATGCATGCTCTGCATTTCCTTACCATATGTAAATAGGTGAAGAGTGGCTCAAGTATAGGGCAGATAAGAGTTTCATAGTGTTCTGGTGGGCAAGAGAGGACCAAAGATTTCACAAAGACACCTGTATAGAGCTTGTTAAAGAAGTTATGCAGCAAATATGAACATCAAGTTTTTAAGATTCCACATCGAGGCAACCCAAATGCTGTGTCACCAGCTGGCCCTGCTGGTAGACCTCCTGATGGCACCTAGGTTTTGATCACTGTGTGACACAGAGTGCTAGAATGGATGGGCATTGGCTTAATCCAACATGGCTTCTCTTTCTTATCAACATTTTCCTGATGCAAACGTCCTACTGACACAAAGTTCTTCTTTACTGATAAAGCCTTCCAGGCAACACAGCATCACCAACAGTAATCTTGAAGAACTTCTCCAGAGCCCTCCAACTCCTTTCCTGATGTGTTTTTAGAAAGTGGGTGTGGCCAAGTGGGGCCTTTGCCTAGCACATCTTTTGATTCGCCATGCAGATGTTTAGGAAGTTGCCACCCACAGCACAAGTATCTTCACTGCATGACTGAAGGTATGCTGTGTATGTAAGAAAATATGTTTAAACAATATGTTCATTTTAAAAGGCATCATGGTAAATAGAGCTTCTGCCTCAAATGTTTAAGAGTTTGTATTAAGAGTTAATGTATAACCTCACTCACTGACATTTTGTGGTTGGCTCTGCCTCCTGCAGTGGAATTTCAAAGGTACCTGCAGGGTCAAAAAGGCTGAGGATCCCATCTTGATTGAATTGTGTTATATTTTTTAATCTGCCTTGATCCTCAGCAAGAATGGCAGGCTACAAATGAAGTAAATAAACATATATACAATGAACAAAGGATACGAAGCATAGGGCGGAGTCTGTAGTCAGGGATATTGTTAAGATTGACAAAGGCAGAGTTAAGAAGTTCAGTGGCTAGGCCATCGATAGTGTAGAAATCTTGCTGCATTGATGAGCCGGCGTTCCCCAGAATGTGAAAGCTGCAATTCAAATGGTACAGGTCCAGGATCTTATGACCAGAAAGATACTGCCTCTGTAAATGGGGATTCTACTACATTATCAGAACCAATAAATTAGCCAGGAATTTGCAAAACTCTTTAGGGTCATCTGAGCTGATGACCATTAATGCAACTGGTAATGTTCAGTTCCATAACTTAATTGGTTATCTACTAAAAACAGGAATTTCGGTTATCCTCGCAAAATTTTTATCATGCATCTTTGCATTGTTAGGAATACAAACATACTGAGGGTAGTAACTTTAATGGAATGTGAGAAGCATCAGCTGATTAGAACAGAGAATGCAATGGCCTCTTTCACCAGGATTATGTGATGCAATGAGATTTTACAAAACAGAATATCCTGCCGAGGAAACTGATGTTGTGACAGGCTATGCAAATTCACTGAATGAATTTCTCTCTGCTTCTGGTTATTTGGGTACTAAAGAAACTGTAATATAAAAAACAAAGTCATCTCCAGACTATTAGTACGCACCAATATGGTACTATTGGAAACCACTGAGGGTCTTACCAGTTGTCATACATGGTGCAAAAAAACCCTTGCATCCTTTCCAAGACTGTTTTGTAAACAGGAGAATCATAAAGCTCCAGAAGAGGTTGAGGAAGGCCTAAGAAGAGGAAACTAGTATCAGCAAAGCAAAGTCACCATCAGAAACACAGAACTTGCTAATGGAAAAACTAATCACTAGTGAGAATCACGAAAGGATACTGTTCTGAAAGCATTTACAAGGGAACAAAAACTTGCAGAAGAACCCCCAACAGAAGGTTGAGGTGTCATGCACTGCTGTTGGGAAATGCAGTGTGTGTGTGTGTGTGGGGTGGATTTTGCCCCTACATACACCAGGGAAGGTGCAGGCAGGAACTCAGACAACTGTGTGTAACTTCTTGGGGGAAGCTATCTCAGCCTTTAGGGATCAGTGATATAGAAAAATGAAGCTTTTGACTGTTTTAAGGAGACTCTGATTATAGTTACTGAGCATGAAAATAGTTCCTGCATTTTGAAAAGGATGAAGGATTTGTAAGGTAGACAGAGACCATGAAAGCACTGTCAGTGGATACTTACCTAGGATGGCATTTTTCTCAACTTCCAGCATGTCCAAGGCTTTTGCAAAAGTTTCCCCCAATTTACCCATCATCTCTGGCATGTACAGAATGTTGTGGGTCCTGGAACAGAACAAGGAGTCACAATGTCAACAACTGTGCCCATTAGCCATCTGGCAGTGGGAAATTGCCTTCAGCTTGTGAACAGCTCCTGTGTCAGGTGATGAGGAAGGTGAGACCAAGCACTTGTGCATGGGATCCCCCTTCCTTACCAAGAAAAACACACATCTGTTGGGGACATGGAGAAGACTCCACTTTGCGCAGAGGGTACCAGCTGCCCCACACAACAGTTACCCTCAGCTCACCTCATCTCAGCCCTCTGAAATGCTGGCTGCAATGCACAAGAGAAGGCCACTGTCGGAAAGAGGCCCCATAACCCACAAGCAAGTTAGGTTTCTAGCAAGATCCTTTGCTCCCACTGGCTTGCAGAGGAAAGGCTGCCTCACCTCTGAAACACACACACACACACTGCCCCCCTAAGGATGGGTCACAGTCCCTAGAATGGCAGGTGGCACTGGATGAATGTAGCAGCTTAGCAGTGTGCTCACATGCTATAAGCAGCTGTGTAGCAGCGAGATGCCCCCTCCTAAAGGGAGCACAGCTCTGCATTAACCACAGCCAGGGAGGGACCCCCGTTCAGCCAAAGGTGACCTCTCTCTTGCCATCCAGGCCAAACAGGGTCCCTCACCAGATAGTTGTAACATCTGAGTGGGGAGGGGAAGGGTCTCTGTCTCACCTACCTCTCTCCTTTGAGACCTCAGACCTCCACTCAGGGCTTCGGCAACTGCACACAGCACAAATTCAGCAGCCAAACGGCACAGCAGCCTCCGCCAAACCTGCAATGCCACTGTGCCTGCTGCTAGAGGTGATCAAGGGTAACTCAGTATCTCCCCCTAGAGCAGCATTTTCCCAAAGTGAGAGAATACAGGGAGGAGAACAAAGGACTAGGACGTGAGGCGGCCGGGGCAGGCCTCTCAATTGCTTTCCAGTGTCTCAGCTTTCATTTTTTAGAAGTCTCTAGCTGTTATACTTGTGAAGAAAACCTTCAAGAACGTGACCCAAGTGCAATCAATGCAGCGATGTCTGCCTGAGCTTGCAGAGAGCCTGGAACAATAGCTGTGAACTGCCCATTCATTTCAAAGGGTGCTAACAGAGGCTGCAAAAAAGGAGAAGCATTGTATTATGAAGACCAAATAACGATTAGTTTTGGCTAAGCCTTTAAGCACCACATTAGGGGCTTTATTGTCTAATCATTTTTGTTACCCCCAAGACAATGCCAACTTGGAGAAGTATGCAAAATGCTGCCCTAGGGGACTTGCACATCCCAGTATGATAACCAAACCCCCTTTCAGAGAGCCCCAAAACAGCATCAGCCAGGACCTTGTTTCTATTTTAAAACCGCTCTCTGCACAATATGGTTTTGAAGTTTTATTGCTCCAGGTTTTTGACCCACTTAATTTAAGGCAGAACAGGTTTTCCCAAACTGGAGTACTGACTCTCATAGAATGGGCAGTAAGGAATGCATAGCTATCGGGTGTAAATGGTACAGCCCGACCTTCTTGCAAAACATGCTTACATGCTCAGTATACAAGGATGGGGCTGTCAGTAATATGACAGGAGAAAACAGAAAATTCTAGCTGGCTAAACTAAGGATGCTAAGGAATGTAGTGGTCAGCATCTTCTCCTAGATGTGCCTGATGAAAAAAAAAGTGCATATCTCTGTAGGTTAACACTTCTTATCGTAGAACCCTGAGCCCACTTGTGGGGAGGGTGAAATATAAATTCAGAAAAATAAAATAAATATTATCATTTGATTTTAAGCGGCTCATTGACGGTAGTTGTTTGAATTTGGGATGCACTAGGAGACAGTACGAACGTTCTCAACCCAACTGTCAAAAATGAAGGCAGAGAACTGGAGATAGTAATGAAGAGACAGAAACGTTTTAAAGTATACTAGGGCATTGGGAAGCATGTCTGAAGCAATGAGCAGTGCACTTGCGTGGCCTAATAGACACTTGACCTCAAACTGTCCCAGGCATCAAAGACATTTCCTGATTACTGAAAAACAGCATGAGTCTTTCCAGCACTTCTCAGAGGTCCAGCAGGCGGAGGGAGAGAGAAGGTAACTGAGCCAGAGTAGGGCCCTTAATACTCCACAACAGCAGCATCTTGTTTGCTTATCCTTATTTCATGGTACGTTTACTTACTACTACTACTGATAAAATCCCTTAAACTTATAGTGAAAGTATTTATTGGGCAAGTCACCTATGCAGAATTTAAATGAGGAACAGTCTTAAATGGAAATTAGTTACCAGGACAAACTGCCTTAAGATGAATGCAAATGTAGAGTGTGTTTTAACAAGGCCACATATACATGACACAAAGTATTATTATAAGTAGGCTTGTTTAAGATGAGGCAAAAATTATTTCCTAGGTATACATGGGGTTGGTTCCAGACTAATATTTCCATAGACACAAAGACTTCCACCCATGGACTGTGATTTCCTCCTTCCCCAGCAGCCTCAAATGCCACACACCCCTAATCCTGGGGGTTCCTCTCCTCCAGGAATTTGGGGGGGGGGGAGAATCACACTCTGCAGGTGGAATTTCTTGCACCTACAGAAACATTAGTCTGGATCCAATTATGGGGAAAAAACCAGTCACCCAGCCCTCATCAGCCCCTAATTATTGTCCTCAGCAGTTCCCAAAAGTTGTCTTTCCATGCACAACGTCATCCCTTGAATTACTCTTCCCTTGCCCATCTTTTGACCATTCTCCCAAACTTGCTGTCTCCCATTTTGTTTTTCAGATGTACAAGAATAGGACAGTGGCTGCAAGGGTGTCAGTCAGAAGAGAGAGGGAATCATTAAACAATGATTGGTCCTGTTTAACGCACAGCCCTCAAATGGCAGCCACAGAAGAACCTTCTCTGTATAGAATACTTTGTTCTACTGTAAAGATCCACAGGCCCAGGAAGAGGTAGTGGGTGAACACAAAGTGTCTCATTAACTCTGCACAAAAGGACAGAAGGTACCATTATTCTGGTTCAGAATCCACCAAGAAGTAAAAACTGCAGTAGAACAAGAAAAGCTGACAAGTGGTTAGAAAAATTGAGCTATCAAGGGTAAAAGGAGTAAGGTGAGAATCCTGCAGAAACATCCAACAAAATGCAACTAGGCAGCCAACAGGAAAGTTAGATCAAGAAGAAAGTTTACCATATAGCAATGAATTTTGTAAACTGAAAAGCTTGCACTGATTTAAAGCTGTTACATGTTAACTATATACAATTAATTGGTCATCTTCCCAATGGCTTAACAAAAACAGCTTTACACACAACTTACCTTTATTCAGACTATTAGCTGTATTCACAGCTTCATCTGATACAGAGCACAAGGTACCATGCAAGAAACCCAGAGAAGAACAAGTACAGCTATTTACTTGATGTTATTATTTTTCCAGATGTGATCATTCATGACAGCAGCGCCTTGTGTTCAAATTTGCATCCACCCAAGGCCTTTTAATATTCTCGTAATCCAGTTCTTTGGCACTAGCAAATTCTGGGATTGTGCACTTATGTGCTACTTAGTTGAACAACACTTAGTGAATTCACTGTAAAAGGGAAGGGAGCCATGACCAGTCGTAGAGCATGTCCTTTGTATGCAGAACATCCCAGGTTCACTTTTTGGCATCACCAGTTAAGAGATCTCAGTTATCTGATTTTGGGAAAGCCCTTTCTCTACCTTGAGAACCCAGTCCTAGTAAATGATACAGAAGGCAAGTAGAAATCATGGTCTGATTTAGTATAGGACAGCACTATGTATTCAAGATGCCCACTCAGGCAAGGTACGATAGTAAGAGGCATCCGTCACCCTCAGTGTTTTTAGACAGAAAAGTGAAATAAACAAAATGGGAACTGTGCCATTTCAGACTGCAGGGGATACAGTATCTTAAACCACTATGTTAAAAAATAGCATATCTGTGAGAAAAGTTTTAATACAACCCATTCTGTGTTCTAGCTTTTTACATGCTGAGTAATTTATTTCATGCAAATAACGCAGTTTCTTGCCAGCAGTCTGAAGGGCTACATATAGCCCATACTATCTTCTCAAAGGTCTACCAGTGCATTCCCATCTTCATCGACTAGACGTACAGAACAGGCTACAAACTCTTAGAGAAAGGACAATTTACTTTAGGATGTGGCTGTCATGAGTGGTGTTGCAATTTTTATTTTAAAAAGTACTAATTGCTTTTTAAATAGAAAGTGATGAGCAGCACCCTCTAGAGTCGGATTTGACTGGCTTTTGAGCAAGGGAAACCTTTTATAATCCAAGGTAGAACTTCAGATAAGGAGCAATGCATAACCATCAGGTTTGGTTCTCTAGCTCTGTACCCAGAATACTGAAAAAGACCAGGAGCCTTCAAGTTGCAATACAGATGAAGTTGAGTGCCACATGGCCATTGTGTTAGAATAGCATAGAGACCAACTCACGCTCCAGTATGGATAGTATTTAACAAAAGAAAAGACAGACAAAGCTCACATATGGGAGGTGCTAACATAAAAGCTCTTGGCCTTTATCAGTGGTGTTTCAAATACTATGTAAATACTGGAAGACGGCACTGGTTATCATAATCCTCATTAAATAAAGAATGTGCATTGTGTTGCATCAGTATCACAGCTAGATGATCTATGTATTTCCTGTGACAAATGTTGTTTTGCACAATCATTCTAGCTCAGACCACATATTCATCTGGTCTAGCTTCCTCTCTGAGAGTACACTATGTGTCAGAGGAGCATTCACCTCACGGAGAGTACTTCAGCATGTACAGTGATTTATCAGGGTTGCTCCTCAGCAAACATTTAGCCTGTCTAGTTTCATAAAACTTGCCATTTTAGTATTCAGCAGTGTCTTCCTAAGCATCAAAATCAGCTTAACTGAATTAGGCTGACCTGAACTCCCCCTCCTTATTTCCCACCCAATTTGGTTGAACTATAACATCAGTGGAGTTGAGATCCCATCTCATCATTTCCCCACAAGACACGAGGCAAATAAACTCCCAAGAAGAAAAAAATGCTAGGTTGAGAAAGAGTCTCAATATGTCTGCCACCAATATTATCAGCAATTATGTCTTTCAGGAGATAATGCGTTAACCTCTACAGTAAAAGGAGCTCAGCGTTTGAGAATGAGCTTGAAGCTTAAAATGAGGTGTGGAGAGTAGATAGAAAATGCACAACAGTAAAGATCATAGGCCGTTTGGCAGGCCTGAGGTAAGGTCAAGAATGTGTGAAAAGCTGCATTTAATTTTATAACTGGAAGAAAGCAACCCCGTCAGAATCTATCGTGTTTTATATCCCATCCTTCTTCAAGGAGCTCAGGATTGAGTGGATTATACTCTCCTCTCCAATTTTATCCTTACAACCCTATGGACTAGGTCAAGTTGGTGTGTGCAATTTCTCTTGCCCCCCATTTCCATCTTAACAACCTCCTTGTGAAGTAGGTTAGGCTGAGAGCAAATGACTGGCCTCAGATTGCTCAAGGAGGTTCAGGGTGAGTGGAAATTTTAACCCATCCCTCCCTGATCCTAGTCCAAAACTCTAACTGCTACACTACACCAAATCTCCCCAAGTTCCAAAAGGCAGGACAGAATTGTTCTCATCTTCAATGCAATACAGAAGTTCCTCAGCAGTAGATTTCATGGGAAAACTGGCTGCTCTGAGTGCCACTGTTCCCAGCATTTTCACTACAAGACCAGAATCATGCGGCCTGGACTCACCTTATGAGAGCAAGCAAGTTGTCAAGAAGTTTCAGGACCTGCACAGAGCAAGGGTTACGATAGATAGGATTGCCATTAGGCATGTACCCAACCACAAATCCTCCAGCCTTTGCCTCTTCCAGTGAAGTGGGCCAACGTGCACGTTTCACAACTCCCAGAATGGTGTACACACAAAAGCTTATCTATACAGAAACAAACAGATGTCAAGAGAATCCTTCTAAGTGAGGGGGAAAGTGAACAAGAGGTTGAAAGAGTAATTTCCCTTGGAAGTGCATCATTCTTAAGGTTTTTTATTCTATCTATGGAGATCACTTTTGATTAGGAAAAAAGCATGCTCACAAATGTGTGATGAACATCTGACAACACAAGTACTGCTTCCCACCTTGGACTGAAAATCTGTATTTACATTATTTATACTCTGCCTTTCTCACTGAGACTCAAGGTGGTTTACACAGTGTAAATCAAATACAGTCAACAGGATGGGGCATCTAATAATAAACAATGTAACAGGACTGGGATTGCAGAAATCTGAACAAAGCATCCTAATGCACTTGCCCTGCCTTATCCTAGAGCTCTCTTTAAGAACTTCATTTCCCAAAGATTTACTATGCTTTCCCAAAAAAACCCAATAGTATAAAAATGCAGTAGGCCTGGATTATAACAGGAAGGTGGGAAGAAAACTGGATGATTTCATATTACTGCGCTGACATCTCAAAGTAGCCCATCTCTGACAGAAGCCATCTGCCACTCTGCAATATGAAAGCTTTTAATAGCCTAGACCAAAAAAATCAGCATCTGGTCATGTCAAATCTTGCATAAAATCTTTTGCTGAAGGTCCAGTGAAAGCAATGTAGAGAAATATGTTTTATCACAGGAGCCACAATAGATTGAGTGGCCTTCCTTGCAAGAGGAATCAGCCAAATATCTAATGTGAACCCTTTTTGTCCAAAGAATTGGCATATTCCACTATCTGTGATCAGAGAATGCAATCTTTTTGTCCAAAGAATTGGCATATTCCAGACTATCTGTGATCAGAGAATGCAATATGTATTTAGAATATTTTCAAGAGGCTTAGGATATACTTGGCAAAATAAGCTAACAGTGAAGCCTATCTTTCTGTGGAAGAAAGAGGCTACAATATGACTGTCCTCTCTTTGTTACAACCTGATTTTGACAGACAATTTCTACTTACTCTAGAACGGTTGAGACCACAGGGATCTTCCATGATTGGATCTGCTATTTTGTTATCAGCACCAACGTAGCAGATAAAGTCTTCAGGATTCATCAAGACTCTGAAAATAAGGCAGGGAGTTAGAGTGGAAAATGTCTACTCCTTAGTACTAACACTCCATTGACCCAAATAATTATTGTGGGGAAAAGGCAGTTATGACAGACAGCACTTTTTAAGAGGCTTAAAAGTGCTGTACAAACAATTATAGGACTGTGAAGGGTTAATTCGTCATAAAGCCAGAAAGCCTTGAGTGACAGGCTGCTCCACGCAATCTGATTGGTCACCATCAGCTGAGCAGAAAAAAATCTTGAGAGAGTGGGATGCTGAGGGAAGTAATTTGGATTCCTGATTAACTGAGAAGGGATGTGGTGTACTGAGACCTTCTGGAAATAGCCCTGACAGAAAAGGGTTTAGTATTGACAAAGTCAGATTCAGCCGTGACTGAATACAGTCTGAATTCAGCATTAGCTGACAGCAATTTGAATACAGACAGAGAACTGGGGGAAAGTTTGACAAGCAGGGTTGAGGTATTAGAATAAGACTCCAATTCAGGCCAAAGGAAAGGGGATAGATCTTCTAGAAAGAGAAGACGACTCCCTACCCAGTCAAACAGGGAGAGTTACCTTTGAGACTTACAGAGATCCCTGGTCTGGTGTGGTAAGAAACTGCCTGTAGAGACCTAAAAGCCAGTTAACAACTCAAGAAGATTTCTGGTGTTCCAAGAGATTGGGTTTGGGTACTGGGAAGACGATACCAGCCTTTTGGGCACCAAAAAAGTCAACGATTATACAAATAAAGTGTATCAGAGTGTTTGGGAAAACACTGGAACAAAAGCCTCTCGATATAAAGATCTAAATAACTGTGAATAATTGAAGAGCCTCTCATTAGCCTGATACATAAGAACATCTGTGCATATACTGTTTTTACCTCAGTAATTTCAGCCCGATTTCACCTTAATGTTAAATAAAATATTTTATTTTTGAATTTTAAAAGTATCTCAAGTACTATATTCAGTGGTTTAAGTTAAAGGGTGATTCTTCCCCTTCCCTCAGGTTCCTGGGCTGAGAAAATAGCCATTATATCTTACTGACACAGGGTGGGACAGCCAAAGTTTCTTCAGAAGAGAAGAATACATGTTACCAGGGCTGCTCAGTCTGAGGGGACAGAAAAACAGAGGGGAAATCTAGCCTTTGAGGGAGGGAAGTGGATGGAGTCCATCACAGAAATTATTAACTATTATCAGCAGTTCACACTAATATGTATTTACTTGCCATGCTTCTTTAAAGATAAATAATATGCGAGACTACAATATTAACAGGGTGTCTGCAATGGCTGTCAGAATGGTTTCTTATGAGTATATGGAAAAGCACAACATAACACAACTAGTTACAGGACTCGCCTGCTCCATTGGGTCTTGCCTTGAAAACCCTATGGGATTGCTGTAAGTCAGCTGTGACTTGATAGTAACCCCCCCCCCAAAAAAAGTAGAGGAATAGTCAAAGTTCTTGCACCTTTTCATTTCTTCAGACAGCCAAAGGGTAGCAACAGGAGACATGAGCTCTTCTAAGAAAACTTTCTGCCGCTGATAATCCTTGAATTGATTGCTGATAAGGACGAGGGCTTCCATGAGAGCACATTTCTCCATCTGAGTGAGGAGCAGCTCATTGGATAACAGCTGCTTCACATGGTTATAAAGCATGTCAAAGTTTGGCTGGAAGAAACAGATCCAAGGGTCAGTCAACTGAAAGAACAAAACAGACTTACTGCCTGCACATATTCCCACATAAAATGTGGAGAGAAGTAATTGCCTTCTCTTAAGACAGTGTCACAGCTGAATCTTCTGCAGCAAACGTTTATCATATGGAAGCGACTCGTGTGGCCCAATTAAGTTCTCCAGATGTGTGTGTGTTGTTTTCCACAGCTACCATAAACGGTGGAGCTGTCATCAGCTCCTGTTTTAATTCCAAACTCTCAATCTTATGCCTATTCTCCACATTTACATTTTCCTACCTCCTTCATAAGACACCTGGTCTCAGTACAAGGTAGATCAGTATTACAATTTCATCTAAACACGCATACACACATACACCTGTTATCTAAATGTGATTTGCTATAGCATAGCAATAAGAAACAAATCACAGGGAGCTTCAAACCACAAGCAGTAATAACTCCCAAATCCCCCAGGAACAGTCCATGTTGGAACAGTGCTGTCCCTTTGTATACAAGTTTGATTAAGTACCAGAACAAGTTGAGGGTAATCTCGACACATCTTTATGATTGATGAGCAAGCATGTCTTCTCACATTTTTCACTGCTCGGGTTCTTGGAGCCTGGGAAAGCAAACCAACAAAACTTCAAGGTAGCATTTTATTTTAAGATTAAACAGAACCAAACATCACAGCATCCTTTACCTGTAGGTCATACCTATAAGATGCTTCATCCAGATAGTAAACAAAAAGATACCATCCTCAGGTAGACCATTTAAAAAGATTAAAAGCACCTTTAACACAGTTGCATCATTGGCATCCTTGGAAAAGACAGCAGAGAACTGACACAAGGAACCTGCCTGGCAAAGAGTTCTAAAGATATGTGGCTACCACCTAGAAGGCCTTGATTGCTACCTGGACTTCAGATGGTGGTGGACATCTTAACAAGATTTCCTCTGATGATGGTGGGGGAGGTGGAAGATATACAAAAATGGAGCCTTCTCAGAAATTAGTAATGGGACAAAAGAGCAGGCACTCATATAGCCGCTGCCAACTGTTTTCCACATCCTCCCCCAATATGAGCCATAAAACGCTCTGATTGTGAAGAATAGCTTAGCCGTAGGAACTCTAATTGACTGAGTAGAATTGTGACAGCCAATGGCCACATACAATGAACTTTATTCTGATTCTGAATTGACTGAGTGGAACTAGAGAGGTGGTCCTAATCATAGTTATTTAAGTTATAAAACTGAACTAGTTTTCATTCCTTTTTTTAATTCAAAGGATTTCCGCACAGAGCTGCCATTCTATATTCAGAAACAATAACAGCCAAGGGCAGCTTTCAACTAAATACTGGAAATTTGGAATTTGTGAAAACTGAAATTTCTAGAAGTTTCTAACCAACATTTTTTTTGTTGTTGTCTCTAAGTCACTCTAATTAAAAGGTAGGATGGATTAGAACTTGGTCAGGACCTTTTGACTTTTGTTGCCCTGTAGAATCAGCTACTGTTTGGGACCTGACCTTCTGCATCATGCACAGCCAATTCAAATATGTTACGTAAAACTACATTGTTTTGAGGATCCTGGAGGACAAAGGCCTCCATGGACAACAGGTTGCTGGACACTATGGAGGAGGGCTATCAAATTACAGGTTAGTATCATGACAGGTTCTGGTGAGGGAACAGATAAGGATTTGGGGGGTCTGCAAAAGAATTTAAATCAAGATGGTAGTCCCTGGGTTTCTAAAGTCTGAGAACCACTGCTTTATACCCAATGTAAAATCTGTTTTTGTTGCACATGATAGAGTCAGAATAAACACACAGCCTTATACGATAAACACACTTTTCTGAGATACTGCTTCCATCACCACTCAATGGAGGATAGGAGTCAACCATATCTATACATAGAACTATGCGCAGGTATGAACTAAAAGATGAATACAGCTAATACTGCAATTTACTTTCCAAGGGGCATAGTGTATTAAAGTACCTTTTTTTTGAATACGCTTTATTCGTTCCCCTAAAAAGGGGAGATATTTCGCTAAAAGTTAGAAATAGGGAAGGGTATAAAGAGGGACAAAGAAAAGAATGAGTGGTATTAGTAATATGTTAATCTGTTAAACCTTTTTATAATCAAATCAGAGAGTTCACAGTTTTCTTCTTCTCCGAAGCTTCTTCATTTCTTCCCATAGTGTTAGCCAAGGCAATTAGTGTGTTAGTATTGTCCTTCTGGTATCTAATATCAGTTTATTCTTCCAGAGTAAAATCCGCTAAAAGGAGAAAGATAGCAGTTTTTAAGTTTTATAGTTCTTTCCACTTTTCTCTCTCAGGTTATACTTTGAACCCAACGCTCCTCCTTCTTCCTCGTTCTTCACCTCCCCTTCCGAGCTGCTGTCTTCTACGCTTAACGTCGACATCCACTTGGCCAGTTCTGCACCTTCTTCTTTGCTGACATGCTTTTTCAAAAAGTCTTGAGCCTTGAAGATGGAATCAATCTTCTCTCTTTTATCATTAAACTTGAAAACCAGTCCTTCTGGTATCAACCATTTATAATTTGTTTGTCGTTTTTGTAAGAAGGTGGTCAGTCCTTTGTATTCTTTTCTTTTCATTCTGATTTCAAATGGAACATCTTTCAAGATTCTAATCTGTTGATCCCCAATTTTCAGGGGTGTTGCTGATGTAGACTTTAGAATTTGATCCCTGAGTCGTTGTTTTGAGAATTTCACCACCACTTCAGCTGGCAACTTATTTTTCCTTGTAAAGTTGGAATAGGCCCGGTAGGCCAAGTCCATCTCTTCTTTTATTTTGTCCGCTTCAATGCCAACCAGTGGTGCAAGGGCAGTTGCTAAAATGTCTCTAAGGATCTCTCCATCTTCCTCTCTCAGCCCCTGGAAGCGGAGAATAAGGTTGGATTTTTCCATTTGAAGCATGAGCAGCTTGCTGTCTTGCCTTTCTTGGTGCTTTTCCACTTTTTGGACCTTCTTAACTATTTGTACATCTTCTGCTGATTGAAGGCATTTCTTTACAGTATCATCCATCTTCTCAGCTACCTCTGTTATCTTCTTTTGCTGTAAACCCAAAGCATCTTCAACAGAGTCAAGTTTTTTATTTATTTTTTGCAGTTCTGCCAGCAGATGGCGGGCAAGATCAGTGTCAGGTTGATTGGCAGCAGCTCCAGAGCTGGAGGGACTGGGACAGGAAGTCCCGCCTGTCTTCTTGGGTTGTTTCTCTGCAAACTTTCTCAAGTTCGCCATGTTTTCGTTTTGTTTACTCTTTGGAAGTTTTAAATACAATTCGTCAGGAAAACTCCCAGACCTTCGCTCTGCTGCCAGAAGGTAAATCGCTTAATACCATTCTTGCGTCGCCCCCTCAATACGCTTTAAAAACCAGTCATTCCGGGGGGGGGGAGTTCCCTCCTCCCTCCTTCCGCTTCTTTTCGAGGGGGGGAAGCTTTTTAAGCCTTTTAAACCTCCGATTTTGTTGAAGCTTCGACTTACAGTTTGTCATTTTGCCGTTTCATTCTCTGGTTTGTTCCGCTTTACCACTCCGCTGTCCCGGTGGCTTAGCTGGTCCCCATTACAGGGCACAGCGCTGCTGGAGCCGTTTGGGGCAGGAGAGACTTTTTGGCGGGGGAGCCTCAATTCCCGGCTTTTCGTGCCGGCAAGAGGCTACCCCCAGTCTCCCAATAGCACCCCCTGGTTCGGAGCCCTTTAACAAAGGCTCCTTAGAGTCTCCGCGATTGCGGGACCCCTCCAGGCAGCGTGTGGGTGATCCGATTCCGGGAACTTACCCGAGAATCGGCCACCAGGCGCGCAGCCATAACCGGAACGTATTAAAGTACCTTTTTGTGATATTGAATTTTAGCCTAAAATGTCTCAGTTCCACTTTTTAGACCATATACTACAATTGATTGGCTACAACAGCATTGACAGAAGAAGAAAAGAAGAGATTGAATTTATACCCAAGAGATTGAATTTATACCCCACCCTTCACTTGGAGTCTCAGAGTTGCTTACAAACTCCTTTCCCTTCCCATCCCCACAACAAGCACGCTGTGAGGTAGGTGGCGCTGAGAAAGCTCAGAGAGAACTGTCCTTGAGAGAACAGCTCTTATCAGAACTATGGCTTGCCTAAGGTCATCCAGCTGCTGCAAGTGGAGGAGTGGGGAATCAAACCCGGTTCTCCCAGATTAGAGTCCGCGCACTTAACCACTACACCACATTTGACAGAGTTTGCCACTGAGGCACCTTGCCTCATCATAACTTAGATTCTGTTAGTATAACAGAGATACTGCCTTGCTGTGTGGTCCTATAAGAAAATTCACCAAATATTTTAGTACAATAGAACTCAAATGTACTTGCCTTGCTTTCTTCTACAACCTCAAAAGTAACGGACACAAAGAGCTAACAGAACAAGAACAAAAGACACTTATTAGTAGCCATTCTTTCCCAACTGCCCAATATTAGACAAACTATGAACAACTGCACACATCCATAAAATTCCTTTATCAGGTTATGTTGTTCCTTTGTCCAGTAAAACACAAGACTTCAGAAAATGACTAGGATTTCATTTCAAAAGGTACCCTTCGACAGCAACAAGACCAACACAGTATTCAGATCTTACACTGATTCCCTAGCCAAACAACTTCATTTTTACTTTTTTAAAAATGAGCAAGGATAAAGCAAAGACAGGGAGACTGATATATGCTGCTCTGAGTTCCCTAGAGGAAGGATGGGATAAAAATGTACCAAATAAGTAAGTCGACCAACCACCATCCAGCCATCTAGCACTGTTCTCCCCATCTTGTGTCTTGTCTTCATTAATCCACAATTTACTAAATCTCACAAGTTTAGTAATCCATCTGAACAACTGTTGTGGTCCAGTCACAACAACCTTTGTAGTTTTCCTAGTGCTAGTCTATAAAAAGTTCAATAGTAAGGACTGGACAGCATTATGTCTCAAAGCCTATTTTTTCACAGGGACAGTGCAGAAGTGTTTACCTTGGAAAGAACTTCTGGCAGATATTCTGGCCTGTAAGTGACAAATGGAAAGAGTGCAGAAACATTAGACAGGACACAAGACAAGATGAGGGGATCCTTCGTTTCAAAACTCCGAACCAGCTGTAGCAGCTCTATGCCATCAGACACTGGAATCTCCTGTAACAATAGAAAGGGAAATGAGCAATGCTCAATGCACTGTGGTTTTGTAGAATGCCAAAGTTTCCTCCCCAAGCAAAGCCTAAAGTCTGACACTACTCCTGGCTAAAATCTGACAATCCTAAAATTGCAGAAATGTCATTCTGATCCTCCAACCACCATACCCATACTGTATTCTCTTGAAGCAAGCACAACTGGTAGATTATGACAACATGCTTGGGTGGGAGTTAAAAATTCAGTCCTGCCACAGGGAAAGTCTGAGCCTATTGGATTGTAGGTTGTCATTTCTTTTCCTGGAGAGCTTCTAGCAATATGCTTGTGCAGAGTACAAAGCATTTAGCAGAATCAGCACAGTGACTGGCACCTACTAAATCATTCAGTGCATTGTTCAACCTTCACCAACACAGTTAGTGTTGAGTCGCTGGATTCACAAGGCTGTCAGAATTCCCACCTGAAAACTGGTTTTCTGCAAGTTGTCATAAAATACCTGCCCCATTGTATCTGAAAACTTTCTAGAAGCATACGAACAACTGCTTCCTCTGGCTGTACAAGACACACAGTCCCAGAGCAGCAATACTGTAATGGACACATTTGAAAGCACTGATGCCCCTGCCCTGGCTCACTTTGTGGGGCTTAAAGACTTTTGCAAGCTCATTCTTGCCCCTAGGATTGATATGTTCAACATCACCCTGCATTTCCATTTTAATTCTTCTGGCAGTTGCTTGGCAACAGAGGCCTGGATTTGCTGGAAGTACAGCCCTATTCATACATTCTCTTTGTGATGTAGCTGCTGCCACAAAAGTGCCCATTTCCACTCCACTGGTATTGTATGCGTGTTCATATATTTATTTATTTAATTTCTACCCTGCCCTCCCAGAAAAAGGAGGAGGAGATTGGATTTATATCCTGCCCTTAAGAGTCTCAGAGCAGTTTACAATCTCCTTTCCCTTCCCCTCCCCACAACAGACACCCTGTGAGGTAAGTGGGGCGGAGAGAGCTCTGAGAGAACTGCTCTTGAGAAAACAGCTCTGAGAGAACTTGTGACTGACACAAGGTCACCCAACTAGCTGCATGTTTGTGAGGTTCTTGATGAAGTAGAATGGCTTAGAGTCCACGCTCCTAACTACTACACTGAACTGGCTCTCTTTGGCAAAGAAGTATTCATTTGAGGCTGAACATCCATAGAGTATCAATGTGACAGAGAAGAAGACCTTTATATAATCACATTGCAAGAACAATATAGGAACTAGGCCTTCACCAGTCACAAAACTGGTACAATCGAATTAAGCACCTACAATTTCCCCATCTTTTAATCTTCATTTTAAAAAGCTACACCTGAACATTATCTTTAAACAGACATTTCCCAGTGAACACAAGATCACATAAACATATTCAGCTTTGACTACTGCTGGCTCATGTTCCCCAGGACTTGTTTTTTAAGAGACAACTTTGCCAGTCTGCCACCCAGAAGGCAACACCTAAAAGATCTGGGCTACATACTTCTTTATCCAATGTCCGGAACATCGGGCTAATGATGCTCTCCAAGAAAAAGGTCATAGCATCCCACTGTACGAAGGAAGGAGAAAAGATGGAGCAGAGGCCTTCACCAGTTTTAGCTAGGAGAAGAGGAAAAATGAGAACGCTGAAACACCTCTGAACTTGTAGCAACATAAGCCTCCCACTCCGGATAGGAATTTACTTTCCCACACCAGTCAATAATGCAAAAAGCTCCCCCCCAAATCCCACACACTGTAACCGTATTGGGACCAGAGGGATATTTTTGTTTGCAAAAAGAACGAACTAACTGATTAGATTCTACAGGGGGGGGAAATACAGCTAAATCTGGCAATTTCTTTAAAAGCTGTTTTCACTAAAAAGCAAATATTAATTTATTTAAAATATTTCAGAGCTGCCCCTCAACTGAACCTCTGAAGGTAGGTCACAAGACAATCCATAAATAATGAAAGGAATACTAACAATTCTGTTTTGGACCCCCCACCTGCCCACTTGCTCCTGCATCTACCAACTTGGAATAGTCTCAATAAGAACTGTCTGTGCAAGAGTAAGAAAAAGTGCCCCACTGCTGGGAGTCAGAGTCCTCTTTCTCCTCTCCTAAGGATACTTACAGTTCGTGGAGCCAATATCAATAGGAGAGGATAGCTGATATTTCAGCCACTCCCCAGCCATCTGAAAACCAGTCCGCGGGTCCAGGCGACATGCCATCCTTATCACCTCTCCTTGCTGGGCACGGAAAGCTGCCAAGGAAATTGAACACAAAGAGCCCAGTTCAGATGCAACAAAAGAACACTACCCACTGCTGAACAAAGTTTGAGTCCAGCGGCACCTTTAAGACCAATGAAGTTTTATTCAAGGTATAATCTTTCATGTGCAAGCACATTTCTTCAGATACAGTGAAACAAGATGTCCTCAACAATTACATACAGGTAGAAAGAGGCCTGGGGGGGGGAGTTTATTTGCCAGTTAGAGTCAAGATGCATAAGTAACTGGGCAATTATAGATGAGATTGGATCAAGGCAGTTGGTAAGATCTCTGAATGGCAGCTAATTAGCATACAAATACAACAGTTAACAAACAGATGTGAGAACTAAGTTTGAGTGCAGTGGCACCTCCAAGACCAACAAAGTTCAATTCTGGGTATAAGTGAGAACTGAGAGACTTAGCATGTAAAGATGCACATTCCTTCAGATACATTAGCATGTATAGACACATTGAAACAGATTTCCTCAAACATTACATATAGGTAGGTATGGGGGGTTAATTGTCAGGAAGGGCTAATTTGAATCAAAATACATAAGTAACTGAGCAATAAATACAGCTAAGATTGGAATAATACATTTGGTAAGACACGTGCATAGCAGCAAATTGGCATATAAATAATAAAGGAGTTAACAACGGATATGAGAACTAAGTTTGAGTCCAGGAGCACCTTTAAGACCAACAACGTTTAATTTCTGGGTATAAGTGAGAACTGAGTGACTTAGCATGCATACTGAGATAAGCTGATACCTCTGCTAAGCCCTGGGGGTTCCATTGTCCTGAGTGTCGTAATAACTTGTAACACAGCAATCTCCTGGAATTCCTTTGCAATAAAATAGCTACTTTGAGGTCCCCCACTGAGTGCCCAGGAAGGTTGAAATGTTCTCCCAGAAGTTTCCCAGTTTTGTGCTCCTTGATGTCAGATATGTGTTCATTTCTCCTTTGGCATAGGGTTTGGCCTGTTTGCCCTGTGTAGAGAACTGAAGGGCACTGTTGGCATTTAATGGCATATACAATTTTAGAAGATGAACAAGTGAATAAACCTGAGATGGTGTAGTTGATGTTGTTAGGTCCAGTGATTGTGTTGTTTGGGTGTATGGGGCAGCAAAGCTGGCATCTGGGTTTATTGCAAGCTCTGGGGCCAGTGTCCATGTTCAAATTAGATGTTGCATTATTGTGGGTGAGTAATTGTTTGATACCACTCTAATGGCAGAAATACCAGACGACACCACTCTAATGGGAGAAAGTGAAGAGCACCTAATGAGCCTCTTGAGGGGAGGAAAGGAGAGAGCGCAAAAGCTGGCTTGAAACTCAACCCCCAAAAAACTAAGATCATGGCATCCGGACCCATCACTCCTTGCCAAATAGAAGGGGAAGTCATGGAAGCAGTGAAAGACTTAAAGTTCCTGGGATCCAAGATCACTGCAGATGGTGACTGCAGCCATATAATTAAGAGATGCCTGCTCCTTGGGAGGAAAGCGATGGCAAACCTAAACAGCATGATAAAAAGTAGAGACATCACCCTGCCAACAAAAGTCCGCATGGTCAAAGCAATGGTATTCCCAGTAGTCATGTATGGCTGCGAGAGTTGGACCATAAGGAAGGCCGAGCACTGAAGAATAGATTATTTTGAATTATGGTGCTGGAGAAGACTCCTGAGAGTCCCCTGGACTGCAAGGAGATCAAATCAGTCAATCCTAAAAGAAATCAACCCTGACTGTTCCCTGGAAGGCCAGATACTGAAGCTGAAGCTCAAATACTTTGGCCATCAAATGAGAAGGGAGCACTCACTGGAGAAGACCCTGATGCTGGGAAAGATGGAAGGTCAAAGAAGAAGGGGACGGCAAAGGATGAGATGGTTAGACAGTGAGGAATTTCAGACAGGTGATATCTCCCGGTAGGGAACCGGTTCTCAAACGGGTTCTGGTCTGTCATTTCAGACAGAACCCGTTTGAGAATCAGTTCCCCACCGGAATGTAACTGCCATTTCACACAGAAAAGCTTCAGTCCCGTTTAGGAACCGGGACTGAAGCGTTTTACCTGTCAACCGCTTTTTAGTAGTCTGCAGTTCCCTCTCCCGGTTCCAATATGCTTTTTTCCCGCCTTTTTTCACCCGCGCGGGCTTTTTTTTTTGAACGTTCGATTTATAACGTTATATTGCTATAGCGCTATAGCGTTATAACGCCATAACGAAATAGCACTATATCAATCCCATTGGAATGCATGGAGTGTTTTTATACTGCTATAGTGCTATAAATTGAACATTTTTTTAAAAAAAAAATCGATCGCCCGCACGGGGAGAAAACAGCAGGAAAACAAAGCGGTGCGTGTCTGAAATGCCAAACCGCTTCTGTTCCGGCTCTCCTCCGGTAGGGGCAAGCCATGTGTGAAATGGCAGCCCTGTACCGGTTCACCTCAAAACGGAAGATTACCGGCTTGAAACCGGGAGAAACTGGGTAGTGTGAAATTCCCCAGTGTTATCGATGCAGCGAACATGAAGTTGAGCAAACTCTGGGGGACAATGGAGGACGGGACGGCCTGGCGTGATGTAGTCCATGGGGTCACGAAGAGTCGGACTTGACTGTGCAACTGAACAACAACAATTGTTTGAGGTTGGGGGGCTGTTTGTGCACAAGAAAAGGTCCCCCCCCAGTACTTGTGAAAGAGAACTGTCATTATCCAATAGAGGCTGTAAGTCACTGATGCTGTAAGTCACTGATGCTGTGATGAACTGTATGTGACCATTAGTGATGCTCTGTTATTGTCTCTTTTGGGCCTGTTTTGCAACAGGTACCATTCTGGCTTTGTTAATGTGTTTCTGTACTGTGACAGGTTGACTATATTGTTGGAGGATTTCTTGTTGTTAAGATTAGCAGCCTGAAGGTTAGAGAGCTTTTTACTTACCACCCCATACCTAACATCAACTCAAATTAGCCCTTCCTGGCAACAAATCCCACCACCTCTCTCTTCCTATATGTAATGGTTAAAGAAATTGTTTCACTGTATCTGAAGAAGTGTGCTTGCGCATAAAAGCGTATACATCGAATTAAACTTTGTTAGTCTTAAAGGTGCCACTGGACTCAGACTTTGTTCTGCTGCTTCAGACCAACACAGCTTACCCAACTGAAACTACCCATTGCTGAAAGTGGATGCACTTTTTGCAGTACAGCCGCACAGAGTGCCAAAGGAGTCCCACAAGGAATGCTCAAATGGCAACTCCTCATCTGCTTGGTTCAGCACTTGGATGCTAAATCAGAAGTAGGAAAAAAAGTGAGAGTCTTGCAAAACCGAGCCTTTTTCTGTGGGGTCACAGCAGGCTGCATAGGCTTTGCTAGAATCACAATTGCTACTGCCTTCCGGTGGACCTGCACAAGATGAGTTTGCAGGGATGCATTCACAGGAAGGAATGCTGTATGAACCCTACTAGTTGGATGTGTTCAAAAACTACTGAGGTAGAAGGAATGTGTGGAGACTTGCAGCAAATCTCCTTCCTGCTCCCGAATGGCTCATAACGAACAGAGGTCTTGTGACACCTTAGATCAGCTAATTTTTATCAACTAAACATAAGCTTTTGTGGACTGGAATCCCCTTCATTAGATGCATGTCTAAAGTATGAAGGGACTGTTTTTTTGGTGAGATTTGCTTACATTCAGTCTCTTACATCTATCACTACTATGTATAACCATGTCATACAAAGCAGCAGCTTCTTTAGATGGAAGGAGCATTAAGTACTACCTCCCAATCCCATAAATAGCAATGAAGGCCAGAATCAAAATTTCAGACTCAAAAAAGTTAAAGAGAAACCTCACCAAACACAAACAAGTGAGTTCTTTAAGGCCAAAACCTGCTGGAGCATTTGAAAAGAAGGTTCGCTAATGCTACCCAAAACAAAATGTGGAAGACTCTGGGCTGTCATCAAAGGAGAAAGTGCTTCCCTAGAGCAACAGTGACTTACAGTTGAAGAAGTAGTTAAAATCTTCATCGCTATCAAAGTCAAAGCGAGAATATTCACAACTGGGACTGTCCGTCTTGGAAGGAAAGCCCATCTGCAAAACAAAAGGACATGAGTTTAGAAGTCGAACCTACCATACACTGTGTACCTCCCCCTCTAAAAGAACTCAAGACACTGAAGTATGAGACTAAAAATAGCAATTTACATATTTTCCTCTACAGCAGAATTCTCACAAGTGTCCTAGTAAGACCCCCATAAAGAAAAAACACTGTTTCAACCTCCCAAAGCATAGCTAGCACAAAACTAGAAAAAAATGTCCTTATAGTGCTGATAGATTGGGAAGAGAATGGTTGGGGAGTGATTAGACATACTATGTGGTTTGTGGGAAGTGGGCAGGCACTGCTTTTGTGTGCTGGATGTTCAGCTGGTCTACTCTTGGGCTGATAATGCCAAGCATGGGAGGCCATGCAGGGTCTGGGGATACTGGTTATAGAGGGGTAGGGGAGATATAGCGGTGGGTCCAGATGGAACTCCTTTAAGTGGAGAGGAAGGAGTCAGAGATATGATAACGTTTGGACCCCACCTGTGTCATCCTCAGAAATGTCGGTAGTGGGGTCAATATCCATCTCCAGCACTGATGTTGTTCAATGCCAGGTCTATGAATAACAAGATCTCTGTTCTCCAAGATTATCTCAGAGCAAAATGTAGACCTGGCTTTTGTGCCTGGGGAGGGGAGGGCAAAACTGTTCCCCTGGACCAACTTGTCCCACCAGGATTCTTGGTCCTTCACCAGACCTGGACAAATTGGCACTGCTCATCCGAAAACATTTTCCCATTAGGGTGCTCCCCGCACCAAAAATTACCGGCACTGAATATGTTGGCCTGGCATGGATGCTGAGGAGAGTTTGGCTATCTGGCTGGTGTACCGACTGCCTAACGCACCAGCAGATATCCTACTTGTTGGATGCGATATTGGACTGGGCATTGGAGTACCCCAGGTTACTAGGCCTGGGAGACTTCAATGTCCATGCTGACAATGCCACATCTTCTCAGGCCAGGGATCTAGTGTTGTCCATGGAGGCCCTTTTGCTCTCTTGAAGAGCCAAATGGACCCTGGTCAGCTTCAGGATGCTCTGCGGGATCCAGTGCCCCCCAGTGGTTTGTTAGGTGAAGGACTGGCATAGCTGGCTCTCCAAAGCCATCACTGAAATTGCCCCCAACACCCTCTCCACCACGAGCCAAAGCAGCCCTGTGGTATTCCCCGGAGCTGTGGAGGATGAAGCGAGAGCTGAGATTACTAGAGTGAGGGTGGCGGTGTACTCATGATGAAGTGGCAAGAACATCTTATAAGATGTTTATGAAAACCTATGAGATGGCCTTGAAGACCGCTAAGAGAGTTCTATGTGGCCTCCATTGCGTCTGTGAACTCGTGCCTGACCCAATTATTTAGAACCATTCAGTCATTAACTACATTGCCACAAGGCAGACAAAATAGTAGGGAATTGGCTATTGGCTGTGAGGCATTTGCGAGCTATTTCACAGATAAAGTCTTGTCACTCCGATAGGATCTTTCAACCACAATTGATACAGTAAAGGAACTGGAAGCCCCTCGTCCATCTTTGGGTCCAGTCTTGGACCATTTCAGCTGGCTCTCTCAAGAGGAAGTCGACAAGATTCTGGTAGTCATGAGGCCTACCACTTGCCCCCTTAAGCCCTGTCCATCCTGGCTGGTCAAAGGCTGCCAGGATGGTATTCGGGTCCCCCTAGGAGAAATTATCAACTTGTCCCTTTCTCTGGAGACATTCCCAGTGGGACTGAAGGAGGCAGTGGTATATCCACTCCTTAAAAAACCATCATTAGACCCTGCAGTCTTAGCCAACTTAGCCCAGTTTCCATTCCTGGGTAAGGTAGATGAGAGGGCGGTGACGGAGCAGCTTCAGGTTTTCTTGGATGATGCTTTCATTCCAGTCCAGTTTCCATGCTGGCCATGAGACGGAGATGGTACTGGTTGCCCTCACAGATGACCTCTGGAGATATCTGGATTGAGGCGGGTCAGTGCTGCTGTTGCTATCTATATATCTAATACTCAAGTGGCCCCGTCTGTGCGGATATCTAAATCCGCGCTCCAGGGCCACCTGGGGGGCAGGGAGAGGTTTGTGCACACGTGGGGCTGTCCCCACGTGTGCACAAAAATCCTAAATGTGGGGAAAAATTTCGGGGGGATGTTTAAATCCCCCCGAATCTCACAGAGCGTTCCCTGCGCATGCGCAGGAAACACTCTGCGAATGCCGCTGCCACCGCTTGGGACATGAGCGGCGAGCCGGGGGGGGGGAGGAGAAAAAGCCGCGAGGGCTGAGCTCGGCCCTCACTTTGGAGCCGGGGGGGGGGGG